ATTTGGGTATCTAGTTTAAAAAATATGTCCGGTGACCCGGCCAACCAACCAAGATGGCCGCCATGGCTAAAAATAGAACATAGGGGTAAAATGTAGATTTTGGCTTATATCTCTGAAACCAAAGCATTTAGAGCAAATCTGACAAAATTGTTAATTAGGTCAAGATCTATCTGCCCTGAAATTTTCAGATGAATCGGACAACCCGTTGTTGGGTTGCTGCCCCTTAATTGGTTATTTTAAGGAAATTTTGCCGTTTTTGGTTTTTATCTTGAATATTATTATAGATAGAGATAAACTGTAAACAGCAATAATGTTCAGCAAAGTAAGATCTACAAATAAGTCAACATGACCAAAATTGTCAGTTGATCCCTTAAGTAGTTATTGCCCTTTATAGTCAATTTTTAACAATTTTTCGTAAATTTTTGTAATCTTTTACAAAAATCTTCTCCTCTGAAACTACTAAGACAAATTTAACCAAACTTGTCCAAAATCATCATAAGGGTATCTAGTTTAAAAAATGTGTCTGATGACCCCGCCCGCGAACCAAGATGGCCGACATGGCTAAAAAATAGTACATAGGGTAAAATGCAGTTTTTGGCTCATATCTCTGAAACCAAAGCATTTAGAGCAAATCTGAAGCGGATAAAATTGTTCATTAGGTCAAGATTTATCTGCCCTGAAATTTTCAGACCAATCAGGCAACACGTTGTAGGGTTGCTGCCCCTGAATTGGTAATTTAAGAAAATTTTGCAGCTTTTGGTTATTATCTTGAATATTATTATAGATAGAGATAAACTGTAAACAGCAATAATGTACAGCAAAGTAAGATCTACAAATAAGTCAACATGACCAAAATTGTCAATTGACCCCTTAAGGAGTTATTGCCCTTTATAGTTAATTTTTTACAATTTTCATAAATTTTGTAAATTTTTGTAAATTTTTACAAAATATTTTCCACTGTAACTACTGGGTCAAGTTCATTATAGATAGAGATAATTGTAAGCAGCAAGAATGTTCAGTAAAGTAAGATCTACAAACACATCACCATCACCAAAACACAATTTTGTCAAGAATCCATCTGTGTCCTTTGCTTAATATGCACATAGACCAAGGTGAGCGACACAGGCTCTTTAGAGCCTCTAGTTTTACTTGTTAATTATTCATGACTGACTGAAAATTATATACAAAGTTGTTTTTTTTTACATTTGCCCTTCTAACATTTTTTTATAATAATGAATGGGTTTGCTCTTTTGACACCATGTCTTTAATGCATATATAATGCTGCACCTCTTCTGTATTTATGCAGTGACTTTTTTTTCATTGTTCAAAATCCATGTTTTCTGATATAGTGTGTTTATGAGTTACTAATGATAGAGGAATAGTATTAACCAATTCATAAAAGATATATTGGGAAATGAAAGAGTTGGGAGAAATTAAAAATATTGTTGAGACATGTTATGGATCTCAAAATCGTACAAGGAACCAGAAAATAAAATAAATAATTTATCAGGAGATGCCAGTAGTGTAAAAAGAATATTCATTGCTTTGTACATGAACATAACTGCAATCAAATTGCTGCCTTTCATTTTGCTGCAGAGCAATTTTTTTTGTGAGATATATATATTTCTTCAATCATCTTACCGAATATGATTCTTTTGAAAATATTATCTTTCCAAGGATATTCCCATTTTTTTTAACTTATTGGAGTGATGGTATATAAGTTAACTTCTTACACTGTATGGTTGTTGGATGTTTACAATAAAAAATGAACTTTTATACCCTTCATTCCAAGAAGTAAACATTTATACCTTCACTCCAAAAAAGTTTAAAAAGTACTTTTTTTTACTCTTTAATTCACTTCAGAAAGTATTTTATACCTTTCACTCCAAAAAGTAAAACTTTCACCCTGCCCCACCTCACACAAAAAGATGTAGATAAAGTAGAATAGTCCTGATTTTATGTCACTAAGAGGGGACAACTGGACTTGAACATGTGTTTGATACATTGTGCAACTCCACCAAACCAACTAGAAGATTTAAGTGAGACTCTAGTTATTATTGTCGAGCCTGCGACTTTTGTTGCAGAAAGCTCGACATAGGGATAGCGATCCGGCGGCGGCGGCGGCGTTAGCTAACTACTTAAAAGCTTTATATTTTAGAAGATGGAAGACCTGGATGCTTCATACTTTGTATATGGATGCCTCATGTTACGAAGTTTCCGTCAGTCACATGTCCAATGTCCTTGACCTCATTTTCATGGTTCAGTGACTACTTGAAAAAAAAGTTCAGATTTTTTGTAATGTTAAATTCTCTCTTATTATAAGTAATAGGATAACTATATTTGGTATGTGCGTACCTTGCAAGGTCCTCATGCCCGTCAGACAGTTTTCACTTGACCTCGACCTCATTTCATGGATCAGTGAACAAGGTTAAGTTTTCGTGGTCAAGTCCATATCTCAGATACTATAAGCAATAGGTCTAGTATATTCGGTGTATGGAAGGACTGTAAGGTGTACATGTCCAACTGGCAGGTGTCATCTGACCTTGACCTCATTTTCATGGTTCAGTGGTTATAGTTAAGTTTTTGTGTTTTGGTCTGTTTTTCTTATACTGTATGCAATAGGTCTACTATATTTGGTGTATGGAATGATTGTAAGGTGTACATGTCTAGCTGGCAGGTGTCATCTGACCTTGACCTCATTTTCATGGTTCAGTGGTCAAAGTTAAGTTTTTGAGTTTTGGTCTTTTTTTCTAATACTGCATGCAATAGGTCAGCTATATTTGGTGTATGGAATGATTGTAAGGTGTACATGTCTAGCTGGCAGGTGTCATCTTACCTTGACCTCATTTTCATGGTTCAGTGGTCAAAGTTAAGTTTTTGAGTTTTGGTCTTTTTTTCTAATACTATATGCAATAGTTCAACTATATTTGGTGTATGGAAATATTTTATGATCTATATGTCAGTCTCGCAGGTTTTATTTGACCTTGACCTCATTTTCAAGGTTCATTGCTCAGTGTTAAGTTTTTGTGTTTTCGTCTGTTTTTCTTAAACTATAAGCAATAGGTCAACTATATTTGTTGTATGGAAGAATTGTTAGCTGTACATGCCTGCCTAGCATGGTTCATCTGACCTTGACCTCATTTTCATGGTTCATTGGTCAATGTTTAGTTTACTTGGTTATTGTTAAGTTTATGTGACAGTTGTGATAAAGCTTTATATTTAGGACTATCAACATAATATCAATGATTAGTAAAGAAGGCGAGACATTTCAGCGTGTGCACTCTTGTCTAATTTACTAGGTATGATGTATTACTGGTATTTGTGAGACTCTAGTTATTATCTAATTTACTAGGTATGATGTATTACTGGTATTTGTGAGACTCTAGTTATTATCTAATTTACTAGGTATGATGTATTACTGGTATTTGCGAGACTCTAGTTATTATCTAATTTACTAGGTATGATGTATTACTGCTATTTTTTTCAGTTAAAAGCAGACATTTAATCCTTTGACAGAGTTGTCATTCAATTTGGTAGTTTATGTACTTTATAACAAGATCTGCTTTCATAGCAATTGTTTTCCACTTCACTGAACTTTGGTGGATAGTTGTCTCATTGGCAGTCATACCACATCTCCTTATATTTATATTGTTAAATGTTTGAGGGTCTATAAGAGTCTTGGAGATCATTTTGTGAGCAGTCAATCTCAGTGCCTCTAGTTACATACATATACCCATGTCTCAATAAAGAAGCAATATCTCACAATCATTTAATTTACCATGTTCTGTTAATGGCCAAAGGTGATCTTTCTTCAATAGGGCTTAATTAACACAAAAGTACCACTGCTTATGTTATAAGAACCATTTCATGGACTTAAAAGTTTCAATTAAAATATTTGTTTTTTAAATTTGTAAATAACTTTTTATTTTTCAAATTTGAATGTTATTTCATCTGAGGTTGAACACTATAGCTAACTCTTTTGTGGATTTAATTAAATTTAAAATCCAAATTCAATTGAAATTGATCTCATTTCAATCTCATTTCATATGTAACATTGTGTCATTTCATTTTATAGCTGACAATAATCAGATTATGATGTTTTTTATTTTTTTTTATTATTTTCAATATTCATTCTGTAAGTGGTTGAAATTTTACCAGGTGAATAATTTTACCTGTGTCCATAAAGAATTTAGCAAGATCTTACTTGCAAATCACTAATTTTTATAGTGAAGTGGTGGGACAAGTTCTTTAATATGATGTGCATGCTGTGAATTACATGTTCTTCTGAATCATATTGTATCAGATATATTATCAGGGATCAGAAACTTGTTGAAAGTTTCAAAAAGTGCAGTGAAATAAATTACAGGGATTTATTAGTTTGCAATAATGGGAACATATACTGCTTAGAGAGAAAAATTTATAAGTGATAATATCATCTCAGCTAGGCTATTATAAAAGGAATGTAAATTGTAAACTGAAATTTTGAAGATACCTGCATTAAAATTGATTAATGCTTACAATGATGGAAAGAATTGTCACACTGCATGTTAGGAATTAATTAAGTTTGTAAATTGGATACTGTGACACATCTTCTCTTTGGCGGTTTGAGACACAAATTATTTATAAAGTGACAGTGTTTAATCTAAGGATCAATTTAAAATATAAAAAGTATGTAAATTGAACAAAGAACTTTAATGTATATTATAAAGGGTAAAATGATTTGTTGACACTCTACTTATTTAAAAAAAAAAGTTGTATTGAAGTTTAGAATGAGAAAATCTATGAAATATTTTGATAATGAAACACTATTTGAATTCATCATGCTTTAGTGGATAGTTGGCTGTTAGCATGGTAATGCTTCCGCTTGTGTGAGTTCAAGTGTTTTGAATTATTGAATATAAGAAATAGAGAAAGGTTTTTCTTTGGAAGATAATCTTTTAATTGGTTACAGTACACTCAGTCACCATAAAAACTTTTAAAGTAGATATTGGATTTGAAACAATATTGTCTCCAATGTTGAATTCATTTGGGAATACATCTAATGAAGTCTATTGTGTACAAGTTTCTATGACAACAGTGCTTATTTTATAGGACATTTTCAAATGTCTGTAACAAATAATTAGGATTGTAGACATCATGTTGGAGAAAAAAAACTCTCAGGAAAAAAAATCAGTGAGGTAAGAATTTAAATCAGGTTCTATTGAAATTTAATTTCACACAAAGTTTGATATACTTAACAATGAAAATATATATGTATATATACTTGATCTTAAATGTTAAAGTTTATGAGTGTAATTAAATAGTCCCAAAATCTAATAATCTTTTATTAAAATTCTGAAAATATTCTAGACAACCAACTGTTTCACAACTAACAATTAAGTGTACAAATACATTTTGACTTACTTTTAGAGTGAATTTATTTAATTTCCTGGTGAGCAACAAAAATGTTCATTTTGATCTTAGTAGTCATTCAAATATAACTAATGTTGAAATTTTAATTGTGATGCCCGGCACATGCACCCCTGTTTTATTGAGCTTAGAACATGGCTATGTTTTCAAATCGAAAGAAGAGTGTCATATTAGAATTTAGTTATCCAGTTTGACATGTTATAAAACTACTGCCAGAAAAGACTATTCTGAATTATGGCAAATGCTGTACTTGGAAGTCCAAAATTTGTTTCTTTTATATCTGCTTAAAAGGACAAAAATAGTAAACAAAAAGTCGCAATCTTTTCATACCACTTTAACATACTTAAACTTCAAACAGTGTTGATAAGTGATAACTCCAAAGTATGATGGTATCCACTAATTTTAAGTAGCTTGCTTTTTCAAATGCATTTTAAGATTTATTTTTGTCCTGGAAAACATTGGCTGCACTCTGAAACCAAAATACATTTCAGAAGGTGCTTAAAGGTGATGTATATATCATCACAAAAAATATATTGATTCATCCATGCATGTGTCAGATACTTTCTAAAGTAAACAATATCCAAATAAAGGGAAAAATCAGTCAAATTTCATATAATAAATGCCCATAAACTTAATGAATGTGTACTTATTAAGTATTTCAACAGGATTTCAACAGTCATTAAATCTTATATGAAAACTATGAACTAAAATTTCATAAACTAAGAGGGTTGCCAGCTTAAGTGAATATACATTTAGGGCCTGGCTGAGTAGTTAATATTTCTGAACTTAATTGTTTTTTAAGTAATAATAGAGTCAATACTTCCATTTTGAATCTTACAAAATAGCAAGAAGTTTTAACCATTCTTAAAATTATGACTAATAACTCTACAGTTTTAGTGCATCCAAAGAGTATTTCATACGAATAAAAGGAAATATGGGGTATACATCAAGAGACATCAACCAAACTACAAAAAAAAAACAAAAAACCACTGAAAAGGTAACATGCAATATTCAACAATTAAGACAGATGTCTATACAGTATCTCAATCTCTAAATCAAACTCAGTCTGTAAAAGCTGTGCATAAAACTCAGTCTGTACTTTACAGAAATAATCAAAGATCTACCGTTTACCCCAAAATCTTCAAAAAACAAGTTGAATGACATACAGCAACTTATGTTATGACGAGGTTTTTGAATGGATTTATTCCTTTTCATTTTACAGAAAAGCAATGACCAAAATGTTTTATTTCTCTGATGCCTTATAGTTGTTACTAATTATGCTGATTATGATTGAGACTTTTTTTTTAGTGTTATAAATGATATTAATTAATTAAAATCAATTTCTCAATAAAACTAAAGAATTTTATACTGCAGATAACCATTATTAACTTGGAAATTGACCAATCTCCCATGTAGCAAAATACAAATCTGTGTGGCGATAAATCAAATGACTATGTAGTATAATGATTAAATAAAGATAATTTGATTCTTATTACTTTTAGATGGCAATTTAAAGGAGTTGTGTAATGTTTTTAATCAATAAATTTTTAATCTCTGTAGATGAAATGTAGATGTTCATATGACGGGAAGGTAAATATAGACCAAGTCCTAGTTGACATATATATGATTGTTGCTTGTTATGTATTAATACTACCAATGAAGGGCTGTCTTACTTAATGTTTGTATGTGTTTTTCACTTTGTTTGTGTGCATGGATACTTAAAATCTGTTTTTTAGCTCACCTCTTTAGAGCCTCTAGTTTTTCACTGGCAGGGAATTGGATGGTAATGTGGTCTTTTTAAAATCACATACAGTATGTATAGAATGTTTTACATATAGAAGCACATGAATTCATGGGGATAGTGGTCATACACTACTTTTTATTCAAAATTAAACACCACATACTGGCAGATTTTCATTTTAATCATTGTAAATTGGTGTACACTGTGTTAAAGTTGATGATTTACTTTAGAGAGAAAAACAGATTTTTGATGAGTCTTATTTGCTCAATCTTATAGATTTTTCTATGGATTGTTATGTTGACTGTTGTTAATGTCTCTTTGTTTTCTCCCATCTCACTAATGGTTGAACCGCTTAATTCTTTCAGTCCGTCTGTACGAAAGACCATGGATAGAAAACTTTCGTCAAACTTTTCTTGACTTCTATGAAAGAGAATGATTTTATATTTGGTCTGCATCTTCATAATGTTGAGTTGAAATATGTAATCAATTTTTACAACTGCAGTGCCGCCTCTTCTTGTTTGCTGATAGTTTTGCAATTTTACAACACTCATTGTACAAAGAAAACTTTCTTCAAACTTTTCTTGGCTTCTTTAAAAGAGAATAGTTTTATATATTTGGTCTGCAGCTTTGTCTGCCTACTGTAAAAATTGGGGTAAACGTGAAAAATCTGATAAAAAATCTCTAGACAGCTATTTTAATAAAATTATGAATACTGTTGATATTCGTATATATCTCATTTTGAAAACAATTCTTAAATTAATAATAGGGTCCATGATATACCCATTTCTAGAATAAAAAATAAACTCCAAGTAGGCAAAGCGGTTTGTGTTCGTACCGGCAGACAAAGCAGCCAATAATATAGTGGTGGTGTGACACATATACTTCACGGAAGTTCTCCAAAACGAAATTATCAATTCGTCTACATTCAGGTCCGTACGCTCCACAGAGAGTCAAATTGTAAACAAGCATATCACTGCCACTACCCACTTAAAGCCTCTTCCGAACATTTGAAAGTCCTGACTATGTACTGGTTACCTCAATTACACAAACAACCATTTAAATTCCGCTTCATCTCCGTATCTAGTAAGTGTTCTACTACTAATCTGTCAGTGATTCTAACTACCTCCCATCATTACTACTATCAAAGAACTTGTTATTAACTTTTGTAATAAAGCTTATGAAAATAATGGTATTAATTATTTTGGGAGTGTTAAAAATTTATTAGAGGTTTTAGATAAAATATGTGCTTTTGATGGTCCTTTTAATTCTGTTGACAGTTATGATTTTTCTATTCTCTACACTACACTTCCACAGTGTCTCAGTTTATTACCAAACTCAGTAAAGACACATCATTGTTACATTTGGTTGATACATTCAACAATACCTACCATTATCTTGATGATATTTTTTCGTTAAATTATCCAGAGTTCTCTAAATATACTACCAAAATGTACCCAAAGGAACTTACTTTAAATAAATCTAACATAAACAGCAGTAGTTGTCCTTTTCTAGATGTAGACATTTCAATTTTTAAAGGGAAACTCCATACTAAAATTTACGACAAAAGAGACTTTCATTCCCTATTGTTAATTTTCCCTTTTTAGACATCGATGTTCCTTTGGCTCCATCATACAGTGTTTATATATCCCAACTCATTCGTTATGCCTGTGTGTGTAGTGATGTCATAGATTTTAACGAATGTAATCAATGCATCACTGGTAAATTATTAAGTCAGGGATTTTGTTACCATAAATTGCTTAAAACTTTTACTAAATTCTTTCATAGATACAAAGATTTGGTACGTAAATTTGGCTGTACATGTAGAAAACTTATTAAAAACGGTATTATTAAATTTGTATTTACATTGTGTCATAGATCAAATTTATTCGTTCAGTGTATGTTCACTTGTTTTTGTTAATATGTCTTTTGATTGCATGAGTTAAGCCATTTCAATTGATATTTTATAGTGTGTCTTTCTATGTTGTGATGTTACACTATTGTTTCAGGTAGGGTGAAGGTTGGCACCTATTAAATCGTTTAAACCCGATGCATTTGTTTGCACCTGTCCTAAGTCAGGAATCTGATGTTCAGAGGTTGTCGTTTGTTGGTGTGGTTCATAAGTGTTTCTTTTTTCTGGTTTTTTATATAGATTAGAACGTTGGTTTTCCTGTTTGAATGGTTTTACACTAGTTATTTTTGGGGCTCTTTATAGCTTGTTGTTCGGTGTGAGCCAAGGCTCCGTGTTGAAGGCCGTACTTTGACCTATAATGGTTTACTTTTACAAATTGTGACTTGGATGGAGAGTTGTCTCATTGGCACTCATACCACATCTTCTTATATCTATGTATAAGTTTGTGATTAGATCAGTTTAAGATGAAATGCTAATGTTAAGTCAATGATATTTGGTATGCAAATTTATTGGCATTTGCAAGTCTTGTTTCCATGGAGATTATATAGCCCCACCCCCTCATCATGGTTCATTGACTTTGAAACTTTTACATTGTTTACAAGTTAATGTTTGTGTTTAGGTTTGTTTAAAAGGAATGACTGATGATAAGTAGATAGTAATTGGTATGCAGTTGTATTAGCATTGGCACATGTCATTTCCATGGAGAATGTTTAGCCATGTACCTTCAGTCATGGTTCATTTACTTTGAATATTTGCATAACTTACATGTTAAAGTATTGCTATTTTAATTTCAAAGAAGCTATTAAACCAAGAGTTCCAAATTGTGAAGTTGAAATCATCCCTTCGTAAATTTTATGGACGCCATCACGAGTTGGTTGACCGTTATGGAATAACCGTTTCACAGATGATATCGGATATGTTCCTTATGTCGTAACTACAATATCCTTCCCTTTTCACGAATGTGACCTACCGAATTAGACTATTTACCGGATTTGTAATAACATAAGCAACACGATGGGTGCCACATGTGGAGCAGGAACTGCTAACCCTTCCGGAGAACCTGAGATCACCCCCAGTTTTTGGTGGGGTTCGTGTTGCTTAGTCTTTAGTTTTCTATGTTGTGTCATCTGTACTATTATTTGTCTGTTTGTCTTTTTATTTTGGGCCATGGCGTTGTCAGTTTGTTTTCGATCTATGAGTTTGACTGTCCCTCTGGTATCTTTCGTCCCTCTTTTTTAATTTCAACATTTGCATTATCAAAATTACAAAAAGGCGATACATATCTCTGTGTTAACAGTTTATTATTTGACTTGTGATTTTGTTATTGTCCCTTGGTGTAAGTCTTACTCTTTCTTTTTTTTTTTGCATTCATTTTTATTTAGATTTAAAACATTTTTCATTAAGAAAACAATTCTGATACATAATAAAGATCAGAGAATTTTACTAATCTTGCAAGTATTTTTTACTCATAAGTCATGAACATTATTATAACTTATGATCAATACAAGTCTTAAGAATGTTTGTTCAAAGACTTAAAGATTATATAATATGCACATAAATTATGACTTTTTTGCAAATGTGTATCTGCTTACAAGAATATTTTATTATTCACTCCAAATTTGTATTAACAGTATACGCAGGATAAGTCTTCACCTGTAAAAGAATTAATCAGTTGTAAATCATGTGTATACGTCATGTTAATAATGAGTGTTGGGATAATATTGGTATTATTACATTTTTCAAGTACTTAAACCAATTAAAATGGCTTGTTCTTGTTTATCTTAAACATTAAGTAGCTTAGTGTGGTTGCTATTTGTGTAAAACCTCATTGGAAGGTATTTTTAGACATGTTACAAATATATAGTTGATAGCTAGAAATAAGCTGTTAAAAAATTTAAGCCCCCAATTACAAGTTTTTGAACTGTTGAAGTTAAAGATGAGGATTGAGGGGGCAATCTTTAGATGACTTAGGCAAATTATACCATATTTGACAGAAAAGGGAATTTGTTCTAAAATGTGTTTCATTGAATTGGATTGGCTAATGATTATAATGGTACTTGCAGAGTTTGTTACTTTGATATAAATCAGCTATAGCCAATACAGTCACCACTGGCATGACTGGGAGGCTTCAATTGAAATTTGGTAAAACCTAAAGGAAATATACATGTCGAAAAATCTGTACTTTTTGAAAATAACGGAACCATTCCAAAGTAGATATGATGTAAAGATACCTTTTACTTTGGTACTGATTTGCCATCCAATATTGTCATGAAATTAAAAGATTTCCTTCCTTAGAATTATTGACAAACTTCAACTCAGATACGATAGTCATTCATGATCATGCAATTGGGGATTCAACTGTCATGTGGCATGATATGTGAAATATGTTAAAAAAAATCATATTTATCTGGAGAAGTGCAGATGAAATTGAATCAGAACAAAACAGAAACTTGTAAGATACTTTAATATTTGTCATACTTGGCTGGTCAACCTATTAGGCTGCCAGCAATTCACCTTGACATATGTACAACATCAGAATTACAAAAACAGTATTCTTTCTTTGATGGTTGTGATAATTTAAAAAAAAATAATGAAGTGGTTTGTTGAGTAAGAGTATCTATTTTTTCTACTTTCAGGTTTAGTGATAGTTACCAGGAAGGTTTTGATGCACACAATATAAACACTGCACATTTGGGTGACGGGGATCCAGAGATTGAAAAACTGGTGTTACATTCAACAAGCACACCTGATAGTTCACTGCACAATATACAGCTAAACATACCAGGATTTGATAAAGAAGATACACAAAAGGAGGACCAAGTTCAAACAGTTGAAAAAGAGTTATCTGACTCGGAGAGATCATTAGTTGGAAGTGAATCACAATATAAACATGTTAATAGTTTAAGAACAACACCATCGCCACCACCAATTGAAAATCAAACTAAACTTGTTGGAAAATCATTTGTCACATCAACTCATTATTTAAAGGATCAGCTCCCTGGTCCAAGAGGTGCTTTCAACCAAAATTCCTATTTTGTCAAATCTAGTTGCAATCCTAATCAAAATATAAGTAATCGCTGTGGCACAAGTGCATTTTCTGGCACCAAAAAGCCATTGACTCCTTTTGAAAAGAAGTACTCACATTTAGTTTCGGCAAGAAACACCATACCCCAGCCACGGGCATACAGTGCAAATAGTATACGCAAATTAGATAAACCTAGTTCTAGAACTAAGACCATGAGTAATTTCAATTACGGAGGAGATATGTACACACTGACTTCAACATCTTTGTCAAGAGCTCAGGAAAAGGAGGAGCTACAAAGACTGAATGACAGATTTACTTCGTATATTTCAAAAGTTAGGCAACTTGGGCAACAAAGTGGACAATTAGATTCATCCTCGTTTCTGAAGTCTGCTAGAATTCTAGAAGAAGAAGTATCACATCTTAAGAATTTATATGAAAGGGAACTAGAAAGTTTGAGGTAAGGAATATCTCACAACTAGAAAGTTTGAGGTAAGGAATATCTCACAACTAGAAAGGTTGAGGTAAGGAATATCTCACAACTAGAAAGTTTGAGGTAAGGAATATCTCACAACTAGAAAGTTTGAGGTAAGGAATATCTCGCACTGCATCCTCAAGCAATCTCATTATTCCCATAAGTTTAAAAGTTTTTGAAGCTTGACTGGTGATCCGACTGGAAATTGGGTAAGAAACAAGGTGAGTTCCCCATCAGATAAAAAAGTAATTACCAAAAATACCGACTCTTGGGTAAATTCAAAAATAGGAAGTCTATAAAACCTGATAAAATCAATGCTTGACTATATCAAAAAAAGGATGAACAGAAAAGAATTGTCATATTCTTGACTTTGTACAGGCATTTTCTAGAGATAATGGTGGGTTAAACCTGGTATTATAGCTAGCTAAACCTCCCACTTGTATGGTAGTTGTTTATAATTCCATTATATTGGGTGAGCAACACAACGGACATAATTGGTTAACATGACAATAATTGGGATTTAGCAGCCAAAACTTTATAAACAAACAATGTACATCACACAGACATACAAACACAACAGACTTCAAACAAACATACGCATGAATCTGATAAAGATGCCAACAAAAAGAGGTTTTGTAGTTGATAGTAACTACAGTATAGTAAATCATAATTTCACATACACTTTCCCAATAAAGTACAAATTAAGTAAAAGAAATGTACAAGGGTATACAAAAAAAAAAAACATTCTGTATTTAATATTTGAAGTATACGCTGAATATTTTTCTGTTAGGTCTTGATACTTTCCACCCGTATGAAATTATAAGGCGTATTACGCCTGGAAATAAGGCGTAAACCAGGCGTAAGTGGTAGTTACGTGTCTAGATCCAGGCGTAAGGGAGCAGGAAACGTAAATTTGTAGTCCTTACGGGTGTAGAAAAAAGTGGTAAACCTGGCGTAAATTGAAATAAGCAAGGCGTAAATTTTCTTACGGCGTAAAACTGTTGGTATGGGGTAAATCATAATACCCATAATGCTTTGTTTAAAGGATCATGGGAATTTTTTTTCAAAATTTGGCTTTTTGGTTTGAGTTTGCAAGAGTTGGACTTAATGCAGCTTCATACATTCAGGGATAATTAGCTTGTTTTGTGCTTTTTGGAAGAATTTGGAAATATGGAATCAAATTGATTAATAAAAATTAATTGTGAAAAAAATGGAAAGTAATACATGGTAAATAATAATTATGTGAGTATATTACCTAAGTTATTAAGTTTTAAGTTCTAACAGTTAAATTTTGAAATCCCAAAACCTTTATCCTTGGATAATAACATTAAAATCTTTTACATGAAGTTAAATTGCAGTATTATCATTTATATTTTAAAGGACATTAATTTATAAAAAAACTTAGTTAATCAAAATGCAGAAGTTTTATTTCAAGAAAAATTAATTGTCATAATTCTTATTTAAACTTGAACTTATTTGAGCCAGTGTCTGTCTAAAATGTATTTATTCATATATTAGCTTCTTCAATGGTTAATATTTCCAGTTTCATGTCAAATAATGAGAAAATAAAGCAACAGTACAGAAGTTTGCATTAAATACACAAAAGTACACAGCTAGGGTAATACACTGATTTGAAATAAGTGTAGTATTATGTAAGGATATTACGCCTGGTTTATTTATTGACCAGGCGTACTCATTTGCATATTACGCCTGGTTTTCTCTGGACCAGGCGTACTCATTTAAATATTACGCCTAATTTTACGCCTGGTTTCCGCCTCAGTTACGCTTGGTTTCCGCCTGGTTTACGCCTGGTTGACGCCTGGACATGCATTCCTTAAACACTGCAATGACGCCCAGATAAAGTATGATTTTTACGCCTGGTTTCCGTGTCATATACGGGCATCACAGTTCGTACAGGCAATGAACTTTTTTTGAGGTAAAAGATTAGACGTTCTTTGACAAAATGCTTTTTTTTTTAAAAGATAGACTTTGTGGTGAACTTTTATAAGACAACAGTCTTTTAACAAAATTGAAACAACTAGCTATCATATCTAAGAATCAATGTCTATATTGCTATTCTTTATCTTGGCATTTCCTTGAAAGCATTACAGAATGAACGAGCGAACACCCAGTAGAGCAAAGTCAAGACAGCTACTAGCGTCAATTTGATTTTAACAACAGGGGATGTTGGGTTTATGTCAATCAACATTAACCCAACAACACAAAAAAGACATAAAGGTTATAAATACTGTCTTCAACAATAGAACACTGTCTATAACAATAGAAAACTGTCTTTACTATATACCAATCTTTAAATCATCTCAGGTCTATTTACAAGTTTGTGAATGAAGTATTCCAAAGATCTGTCAACACCAAAACAGAAGGTATAATAATATCAGATTTTTAATCCAAATGTATAATTGGCCCTAGGTCATGATATTAGCCCAAGAGCTGAAGGTCAGTTAGACATGTAATGCATTGAAAACTTTTTTACAGATTGCAGTTGGAAGATATTTCCAGAGAAAAGATTATTCTACAACAACACTGCGGTAAACATCAACAATCTGCCCAAGATCTGGAAGATAGGTAAATACAAGTAGAAAATGTATAGAGAGGGGATTTAAAATGCAGATTAAAGCCCTCTTTTTCAGTTTTCAGCTGATGCAATGTGTTTGATCATCATGGTCATTTGCTATTACTCAGCTGATTTTCCATGTTTACTTCTGTTTTCTGGATTAACGAAGTACTTTTGCCTCAATTCATACAATGCATGAAAGATATAGCTTAAAAAGACAAGTAACACTAGTACGGTAATGTTATGTTATAAATTATGAGGAAGGTAAATTTAAGTTGTCAAGTTTACAAATTGCCAATGGCAAGTTTTTAGATATTCTTATTAATTGAAGCCTATATATGAGTAATACCTGAGGGTACATACATTACAATTCTGGTAGAGATTGCTTTCCACCCATCCACATTAGATATTGATACAAGAAAGTCAAAACTTCTAGCTTGTCCTTTTCCACCCTATTGAGTTTTTCATTACCATGCTTGTGTTATTATTCTGATTAGTTAGAGCTTCCTGTTGAAGACTAATCCTGACAAGGAGGTGAATTTCCCCACCTTAGAGAATAAACCTCCCTATCTATTCATGCTTAAACTACCATTTTATTAAGAGTAGTTGTTAATATACATTCTTTTGTTGATAAATCCATTTCTCAAATTCTTAGCCAATTTATACTTTCCTTGATCAGTTGTTTCTTTTTGATAAATCAATGTCATGAATGTGTTGTTCCTTTGATCTCAGTTCTTTATTGGTCAAAATTCAAGTATGATGTCATATTTTCTTGTTTTACTATGAATTTGCTACTGTGACTTAATGGGAAAAGGCTACCATGTCTGATGACATCGCGTAAAAAAAACACATCATGGAGTTAAATGATGTTTAGAGAAACAGATTCCATCACACGATCTCTTGCAATACTTTTTTTCTTCACTCTCAAACATTAAATTTTAAATATGTAAAACCCTCTGAAAGCCTCACCTTTTAAATTTGAAATTTCAACTGTCTCAAGTTAAGGAATATTGTATCACACTCGATAAGAGTATCCATATATTTTAAAGTCATTTATTGCCTAATAATAATAAATAAAAAAAAAAAATTTTGTTCTCATGACATATATGGAAAAGGCTATAGTGCATTTTTGTGTCATGAATTAATACATTGTATCCTTTATTTAACAATACATTAAATTCCAAACAAGCTGCAGTATATTGAATAAAATGAATTTGACCTTGGAATAAACATTGTTGATCATCAAACTGATAGTAATGAGCTTTTTTTTTTCTTTCAGACTGTTAGTAGAAACAGATAGAAACAGAAAACTTGTAGACCAAATTAATAATTGTCAACAAAAAATAAATAATTTGGAACAGGAATTAATGCATGTGAGAGCAGCACCACGGCCAATAGATGACATACCACGCATGCAGAGAGATTTAGACAATTTAACAAGAGAAAATGAAAATTTTAAACGAAGGTATGGTATCTTGATTTGAAGGGTTATGTATCAAGCACAATAATGTGTAAATATTTTTTTCTATAAACACATATCTAAATTGCTCTTTACAACATGCTGAAGTTGTATGATGATGCACCAGGCAAAAACCTTATTTATTAAACTTAATAAAAATCATAGACGAATAAATTTAATTGTACAAAATTGTCAAAAAAAACACGATGTACCAGTTAGTAGTTTCAAAAACTATTTACTGTGTATCTGTATAAACTATTTACTGGAAGCAAACATTTTCCTGGAAAAAGACAATTACTGGAAGCAAATTATTTCCTGTAAAAAGACTATTTAGTGGCAGCAAGGATTTTCCTGTACTTTCTGTATCATAAAACAACTATGTACTGGCTATTTGGACAATAGCATGTTTATTGTCCTCATAGCCAGTAAATAAAGAGTATAATATTACATGAATAAACAGTATTCTCTGCATTTTTTATTAAAATTTTTACTTTTCAGATGGGAAAAAGAACAGTTACTTAGACAAGAAGTAGAAGAAAAACTACATGCATGCTTTAAAAAATCTGAGTTTGATCACCAAGTGCAGAATGAACAACAGTCTGAGCTCCGACAAAGATTGGAATCTGCCACTTCCACTATTTTTGGATTAGAGAATAGAGTTCGTGAACTTAGTAAAACTGACTCCAACATTCCTGACCTTATAAAACAAGTAAGAGAGGCTGCTGAGGAAGAATTACAAAAGTACCAGGCTGAATCAGAACAACAGTATACTAGAAATGTAAGCTATATAATTTTGTCTTGACCAAGTAAAGTACAATTAGGTCAAAACTTAAACAGTGTATACAAAATTGTTTAAGAATAAGTACATGTCAGTTCTGTATTTATGTGTAAATTTTAACATTTTTGTTTCTGCTTTATAATGTTGATTTTTAAATTATTCTTGTTTCATTAAAATTGACTCCAAAATGTTTTATGGCATACTGTGAAGCCACTTGTGAGTACAAATTGTCATTACAATACATTGCTTATGGTATTTTAATTATATTTTTACTTGAATGCATTTGCTGGACTTTTTTTACATCTCTTACTGGTATATAATTATTGTTCTCTGAGGGGCAGTAGGAGGGCATGTCATCTCTAATAAAACACTCTTTCCCGGTTCCAGAAAAATTAATCATTAATTCCTCGAGTCCCGATTAGTGTCAATCCCGAATTCTTGTGAAAACAAAGGCCAATCCCAAATTCACTACAAAAATAAAGTCCCAATCCAGACGTCCTGAAAAAGGTCCTTTCACAACTCTTTTTTGAAAATTCATTATTAAAAGAGTAAATACTTCTAAATAACAAATATCTACATTGTTATTTGTCCTTCAACTGGTCTATTGTTTGAACTATGTAACTGATGAAAAGTTAGTTGGAATCAAGAACTTGCAGGGAATCTATTAAAAAACATATTCATTTGCTATAAATAGTCTGTCATTTACAGTTTCCAATTAAAATTTTGTTTTAAAAACATCAGAAAATTAATTAACATTTTGGAATAACTATATTTGTTTTATCAGTTAATCTTTATCTTTCTATTTAAATACCAGTCCCTTGGCCAAGTTTAGATAGGTTTTAACTGTAATGTATACATGATAAGTACTGCAAGGTTCAGAATTTATTTTTTTATAAGATACCACATATTAGTATATTATGATCATGACCATCAGCATACTGTATATTTAGATTATACCACTGCATTGAGTGTAATACAATAGTTCTCAATTTGAAAAGGTTAATTTTTTATAATATAAAGGGGAGACTAGCCCAGCTTTTTAAAGGTTTAAAATATATTTTAGAGATATGAAAAATATCGGATTGCACGAGATTCAGTAGTTAACTCTTTTTCTCTAATTATTTTTAGATGATACGTAGACAAACTTTATCTTTCTTTTTCAATGATCTCCCAAAAGATGTGTTCTTTCTCTATGACATTATCAGGCAAGGTCACATTTTTTCATGACGTCAAAATAGAAATTCAAAGGAAAGCAAGCAAATTTGATATTATAAGATAATTGAATTCTGACCAATGAAGACATGAGATAAAACAAACCACATCTTGATTATAAAAAACCTATCAATTGGTTGGGGAAAGTATTACTCTGCATACTTAAACATACCGTAGTTTAATTGTGCCACTTTCATATTTAGTATCAGAAATCCCGACTCATGCAAATGGTAAGTAAAAGTTCTGTATACAGCTTTCTCATCACGATTTAATTATCTTCCCATTAATATCAGTTTGACAGGACATATTCATGCTAATTTATGAATCCCATAAACATCCAAGAAAATTTTTACTTAATTCAATATTTTATTGCTTTTTCCTTTTCTTTCTATCTCTTATGTAAGTACAATCGTAACCACTAACTATTTCCAAGTTTGATACTGTCTAAGTTTTAAGAACATAATAATCTAATATAAAACACCAGTTTTAGCACAAGATGTGTTATCTTGCATTGGATGTCTTCACTTGTGCATTTCTTTAGAAGATGGAATACTAAATGATAAATGACTAGGGTTTACTTATATGTAGGATGTATAGAGATGTTTTCACCATTTGTTTTATAATACATTGGAATATATATATTACCAATATGACTACTACATTTTCTAAGAAAACAAAGTAAAATCAGTTCTTCCTCAAAAATTGACTTTAGGCAGAGATCTTCTATGGAGGTTTGAAAAGTTAAGTACTTTTACATTAAAGCACATGGAAGATATACAGAAAAATTGTCTTGTTGACTAGTACTGCTGGACCAAACTTATGGCACAGCTACAATATGTCATGACACCTTCACATCCCTACAAATTTTTATGAAAATCTGTTAGTTCTTTATCAAATATAACAGTATACTTATTTTACACAGTGGTGGATGAACATAAGACAACATTCACAAATATACTTGGAATAACAACATATTGATTGAACAGTACTTTTATTGTTGTTCTTCATCTCTACAGTTGCTAGGACTGCTGCTGTGGAATTCCTCTCATTGAGACTTAAAAATTGTAATTTGCTGCTTCTCCGCTTAACATGCAGCATGAAGGAGTAAAAGTAACCATCCATCATCATCATCAGATGGATCAAAATGGCCCCTATTATCTACTTCAGTATAAAAAGTAGTAACGAATTTATGATTAAGTTGTGCAAAGACTCGGTAGAATATATTAATCACACAACAGATTGTATTCTATATTGCAATATAAAGGCTATTTATTACTGTATTATTAGTAAATACTGTTAATAATTGTAAGGTTGATAGGTTCTAGTTTAATACATTGATTAGTATTGTTTTCTTTGATCAACAGATATCTGCCTTGAAAGTTCAAATGGAAAACGATGCTAGTACAATAGAAAGACTGGATAAGGAGAAATCTCAAGTTTTAGGAAGTATTGGTGACCTGAAGGCGAGGATTACAAACTTGGAAGGGGAGGTAAGGAATTACATTACTGCATTTAATTCATGAAAAACAACACAAGAAAAACAAAACACTAAAAAATATTACAAGCTAAAAAAAAATGTTTTCGTTTAAAGGGCAAACAAAAGATACATAGAATAAAACTTACTTTACAAAATGTTTGAATGTCGAATGAAAGAAACAGAGAATAAAATATATTAAAGTATAGATTTTAAAGTTTTCTGCTTGTAAATATCTTCAAATATTGGATGCAAGTTACAGTATGAAGCTTTTTTGGTTTAGTGAGCATAGTGATGTGGAAAGAAAATTTTCATACTGTTTTGAATGGCTGATATTTACAAGAAAAAATAAGCATTATGTTTATGGTATTGATCTTAGAGTTTTTCTTGATCTAAAAATTATTTCTTGATATTGTTGGATTAATTCCATAAATAGAATGGTTTTTTGTAAGCTTTATTGAAAAACAAGAAGTAATGTGATAAGAGTGTGTTCCTTCTTCAGCTTTTCTTCACAATTTATTTGCATTTGATTTGAAAGGATGTTCCCAGAATTAAATGCATGGAGGCATAGGAGAATATTTTTTTAGACTAACCACCCATGATATAAATTTTTTTCATTTTACTTATAGTCCTCACATAATTCTAAGGAAAATACAACCACCCACAATTAATTTGAGTGCCTCCCATTCCCCTCCACCACAACCAATTTAAAACCAGTCCTAGGATAAATTTATGTGTTTTTTCTAACACTTTTCGGATTTATTTTTTTATAATTTTCCAACTGCAGCATTATTTTCCTGAAATATTTCACTTTTTAGCTTCCTGGTTATGTGATAGAAAAACTAGTGTTGTAAAAAAAAGGTATCAATATTATCTCCCTTTGTATGTTGTCATAGTAAGTCAAGTCTTACGTAAGTAAAACACACAATCTAAAGAAAGAAATTATCTTAATTTTCATGAAAGGGTTATCTATAATTCTCTGAAGTTCAGTCAAGGCTGTTAATACAGTGTGTTTAGATTCAGAAAAGGTGAACCGCTTACTTTGGCTCTTTTTTTTTTTTTTGCTTCTTTCATTAATAAAATTGAAAACAATGAAAGTTAACATAAAAAAAAACTATGCAAAACTTTTATAATTTATTTGATGCAGGAAATTAAGCATTAGTTTTCTCAGAGAACAAACTAGAATAGAATGTGAAAAAATGCAGGAATACTAAAGTATATTTTTATGTTTTTCTTTGTAGATAAGAATGATTGATCATCAGAGACAGTCATTAGAGGAAACACTGAACTCAGAGAGAGCTAGGTCAGCTGACCAGTTACAGAGTATGGAGAGGAGATTCCGTGAGGTCCAGGAGGTGTTATTTGTTAAGATGCAGGAAGCTAATATATCCAGGGATACAAATGTCCCACTGAAGGCTGAGATAGAGGCACTGAAAGCTTTGTTACAGGAGGAGGAAAGAAGGTATTTTCCTCTTAGGGCTTCACACAAGTCACTGGACTTTATTGTAAAATGTTACCCATATTGTTTTTAAAAATGGTTAACCTGAAATATTTTAAAATTTTCATATGAATTTATCATCTTTTACTTTCAAGGAGTAAAGCCTTAGTTTATTGATACTTGCCTCTTTAGACATAATACAAAAAGTATCACAGAAAAATGTTTTGAAGCAACAGTGAAGGCTAGCCTACAACAAGATAATAAATGTATCTGCAATATATTTTAAAGATTTTCTCTTTTATAGCTAATACATAATCTTCTGTAAAAAAAGACAAAGATTTTTGTAATGAGATCATCAGGACATAGTTCTATGAAAATAAGGAGTTGAATATAGATTTGGTCATTAATTTTCATGTTTTTAAAATTGTTTTACAGTTGTCATTTCTGGCCTTTTATAGCTTTAAATACTATGTGGTATGGGTTTTGCTCATTGTTGAAGGCCATTTAGTGACTTATAGTTGCTAACGTTTTACATCATTTGGTCTCTGGCTGAGTGTTGTCTCATACTCTCATTGGCAATCATACCACATATTCTTATGTTTATATAATAAACTTGATTCTATATATTTTAAAATCTACAATATCTCTCATAATGCTTCCTATGAAATCAGATATTTTTGGAGAATTAGTATTCCCATTGTTAAGTTTCAAACAGCTTGTGTTTCTCTATTGATTAAAATTAAGAATTTTTGACAAAAATTTGGACAAAAATACATATACCGGTAAAACATACTCAGTGACAGTTATCCTATAAATCAAGACTTTTTTCCTGAGGAAAATGACCAATCTCGTAGTGATGAGAAGAAACACAAAGTTGCTTACCATTTCCATAATGCCTTAGATACATTAAATGTGCCTGTACTAAGTCAGGCTATTTGAGACATGTGATTTTAATTTTTGTTTGACTTTGTACATCTATTATCTTGGAGGAGTTGGTGTGGTCATTTGTACTGTCTTATATTTTTGGTGTGGTCAGTTGTACATGGTCAGTTGTACTGTCTTATATTTTTGGTGTGGTCAGTTGTACTGTCTTATATTTTTGGTGTGGTAAGTTGTACTGCCTTATATTTTTGGTGTGGTCAGTTGTACTGTCTTATGTTTTTAGTGTGGTCAGTTGTACTGCCTTATATTCTTGGTGTGGTCAGTTGTACTGTCTAATGTTTTTGTTGTGGTCATTTGTACTGTCTTATGTTTTTGGTGTTGTCAGTTGTACTGCCTTATATTTTTGGTGTGGTCAGTTGTACTGTCTTATGTTTTTGGTGTGGTCAGTTGTACTGTCTTATGCTTTTGGTGTGGTCAGTTGTACTGTCTTATGTTTTTGGTGTGGTCAGTTGTACTGCCTTATATTTTTGGTGTGGTCAGTTGTACTGCCTTATGTTTTTGGTGTGGTCAGTTGTACTGTCTTATGTTTTTGGTGTGGTCAGTTGAACTGTTATATATTTTTGGTGTGGTCAGTTGCTAAAAATTGTGAGATACTATTTTCTACAAGACTTCTTTGCTTTGTAGGTTGACTGCTCCTGTAGATGTCAGCAGTGCTACATTAAAGCAGACAGCTACTTCCAGCAGTGTAACTCAGAACTATGCAAGCTCTCCACCACCACTGCAAACATCTCAAGTCTTTACCACCTACCAACCACCCATGTCTACATCTTATCAGATGCAGTCGTCCATGTATCCACCACCTCCAGCTCAATCCACAGCATATCCACAGCAGACTTCCTCCTATCAGACTGAGACTGTAACCTATCCACCTCAGACCTCTGGTTACCAGGTGGAGACAGTACATGCTACAGAGCCTCTCTATAGCAGTGTACAGAATGAGTATGATGCCAGTGCAGATTTTCCTATCAGTGGCACAAGATATAATTATGAGACAACACCTAGTGTAAACAAGTTACAGATTGAACCATCACCACCTGTGACCCCTCGCCCAGTTGGACCTGTGGTCAGGGTCAAATCAGCTCCAAGTAAGTTTGTTTAGAAACGATCATTAAGTTAGTTTTCAATATAAATTATTTGGACCTACTCCTGTTCAAGCATTTTATATATATATATCTATTTTCAGACGTACATCTGATGCTCTTGTTAATTTCAGGCTGCTAAGTATCTATAAATTTGTATAAAGAGTAGGTTTCTTTTAAGTGTATTTTGCCCTGTGAATTTATTATTTTTTAAAGCACAATAGTACAATGTTCCTGTTAGTAGTATAAATCTTAAAGTTATTTTATACACATCAAGAAAATATTTTCTTAATTTGCTCTGCTAGTTCGACAAAATTTAATCTGCATAATCTATATGATATTTTGTTTTTTTATTGTATCCCTAGCTTAGTTTTTTTTCCTGTTGAATGAAGTAGATACCCTTTGAAGTAAACAGTAATTTTAAAATTATCAGAAGACAACAGAACCTTCTTTTTGTTTCATATTACAGGTTCTGGCAGGAGTGGACAAAGTCTTGGACAAGGAAAGGACTATTTCGATGAGATGTTCCGAGACCTAACAAGTCAAACCATCAACACATATTCCCGACCAAAAAGTAGCCCCACAGACCGTTACCCTATGACAGCTTCCCATGACTACACTACTGCTACATCTAGGTAAGACATTTCTTTGGACTTTATAAAAGACTGGGTGCAGGTAACACTGTGTTAGTACATATTAGTACAGTGGTATTTATATCTTTGTTATTATGTCAAATTTGTTGTTTTACTGTCAGTTTCTTGTGTAATGTAGTATAGGGAAGCATCTCTTGGCTAATCAACTATAGAAAGGTTCTCATGGCACAAATGTTCAACTAATACAAGTTAGAATAATTTCAAAAAATATTTATTGCATGTTTTGATACAAGATTTTGGCGAAGACAAGTTTTGTGCAAACTTCAGTTTCGACAAGATTCAGAGTACCATGCCTTATCTAACAATTTGCAGTGAAGCATTTAATTTTGAAATTTAACAGTTAATATTTGATATTGAATAAAAATTACATGTTAATAGGGATTAGGTAAAATTATTAGTTTTAAAAATGATAAGAGCGCCCTCTTCAATTTCGATAACAAACATGGGGGAACGTAAACAAACCTCGCGAAATCGAATTCTTTCTCTTATTTCTTGCTTATTGTACTCTATAATCCGCACCCCTGTCTGGCAGGATCAATTTTGGAGAATAAAACTGCGGACTATACAAGCCTGAATTTTAAATAGCAATTTAACCAGGTACAACCCACCATTTTCTTTGGACAATGTCTACCAAGACAAAAGACAGGATTAAATATGACAGTTCTTTTCCAAATGTTCTGTTGGTTGATATAGTCTAGCATTTGGTTTTGTCAGGTTTTATGAACAAGTTTCGTAGAATGTGATCAATTTAAAGGGCTGTTAATTCTGAGGATTTTCTAGGTTATTTGGTTTCCCATTATACCAAACAGAATTTTGTTTTTGTATTGAAAATATGAAGTGTAGAGTGAGTATTATTTGTATGTACACTTAAATGATATCAAATGTACTTATAAAAATGGTTTTAGTGCTGGAATATGTCAGTTAAGGAAATATTGTGGCTTAATACATAAATCAGATAAGTGATACAGGTTCAACATATAATTACTCAGTTGTAAGGTTGGGAGTAGATAGAAGAGGGAAATAAATGTTACAAAAATGTTTCTTCCTTCTTCAGAAAACTTGTTTTTAGATTTCCAAGAAATTTACTTACTTAAAGTATTAACTCAGTTTTGAAATTTATTTTAGTTTTAAGAATACATTTATCACAAATCAAGAAAGTTTTCTGTTTATTATTTTAGGCACTGGTTGGTAATTTCTCAGTAGAATCACTGTTGCTATACTTTTCTTCACTAATGCTTTGTCTCACGTTTTCAGAAAATTCAATATTTACTATTTCTAACTGTTTCAAAAATCAAGACACATTTAATATACATATACAGTAAAAGGATGTAATTGTTTATCAGTGACATTTTTCACAATATTTTATCAAAGAATGATGTATATATATTGGCATTAGTATCTGTTTCCTATTTTCAGATGGTATGTAGAACCTGAGCCAAGTTATTTCTCCCCTTTAGTTAAATTCAGTTTTATCATATTTTTCACCTCAGTGCAATATCCAATTCAAAAGATGGTAGATTTATTAAGGGACTTAATTCTTGGATACTTTACTAGGACAGGAAGGTATGATCCTCTGTTAGGTCAAAGTTTCCTTACTTCATAAAAAAATTATTTTTCTATACAATATTTATTTTGAAAAACATCACAGATAAACAAATAAATTACTAAATATGATGTGTACATATTTTAAGATTTTGTTTTAAGTTCTGTAAAATTAAATCAGGTATCCAAGAAGCAGTAAATCTATTAGGATTAAGAAAGATTGGAAATTCTGGTAAGAGTTATCTCCCATTATACAACACAGTTGTATGTTGACATTTGCATTCTTTCTTTATGTTAAAATTGTTTTGTTCTCTACAGTTTTTGTCGAGCCTGCGACTTTTGTCGCAGAAAGCTCGACATAGGGATAGTGATCCGGCGGCGGCGGCGTTAGCTAACTTCTTAAAAGCTTTATATTTTAGAAGGTGGAAGGTCTGGATGCTTCATACTTTGTATATGGATGCCTCATGTTACGAAGTTTCTGTCAGTCACATGTCCAATGTCCTTGACCTCATTTTCATGGTTCAGTGACTACTTGAAAAAAAAGTTCAGATTTTTTGTAATGTTAGATTCTCTCTTATTATAAGTAATAGGATAACTCTATTTGGTATGTGCGTACCTTGCAAGGTCCTCATGCCCGTCAGACAGTTTTCACTTGACCTCGACCTCATTTCATGGATCAGTGAACAAGGTTAAGTTTTGGTGGTCAAGTCCATATCTCAGATACTATAAGCAATAGGTCTAGTATATTCGGTGTATGGAAGGACTGTAAGGTGTACATGTCCAACTGGCAGGTGTCATCTGACCTTGACCTCATTTTCATGGTTCAGTGGTTATAGTTAAGTTTTTGTGTTTTGGTCTGTTTTTCCTATACTGTATGCCATAGGTCTACTATATTTGGTGTATGGAATGATTGTAAGGTGTACATGTCTAGCGGGCAGGTGTCATCTAACCTTGACCTCATTTTCATGGTTCAGTGGTCAAAGTTAATTTTTTGAGTTTTGGTCTTTTTTTCTAATACTATATGCAATAGTTCAACTATATTTGGTATGTGCGTACCTTGCAAGGTCCTCATGCCCGTCAGACAGTTTTCACTTGACCTCGACCTCATTTCATGGATCAGTGAACAAGGTTAAGTTTTGGTGGTCAAGTCCATATCTCAGATACTATAAGCAATAGGTCTAGTATATTCGGTGTATGGAAGGACTGTAAGGTGTACATGTCCAACTGGCAGGTGTCATCTGACCTTGACCTCATTTTCATGGTTCAGTGGTTATAGTTAAGTTTTTGTGTTTTGGTCTGTTTTTCCTATACTGTATGCCATAGGTCTACTATATTTGGTGTATGGAATGATTGTAAGGTGTACATGTCTAGCGGGCAGGTGTCATCTAACCTTGACCTCATTTTCATGGTTCAGTGGTCAAAGTTAAGTTTTTGAGTTTTGGTCTTTTTTTCTAATACTATATGCAATAGTTCAACTATATTTGGTATGTGCGTACCTTGCAAGGTCCTCATGCCCGTCAGACAGTTTTCACTTGACCTCAACCTCATTTCATGGATCAGTGAACAAGGTTAAGTTTTGGTGGTCAAGTCCATATCTCAGATACTATAAGCAATAGGTCTAGTATATTCGGTGTATGGAAGGACTGTAAGGTGTACATGTCCAACTGGCAGGTGTCATCTGACCTTGACCTCATTTTCATGGTTCAGTGGTTATAGTTAAGTTTTTGTGTTTTGGTCTGTTTTTCTTATACTGTATGCAATAGGCCTACTATAGTTGGTGTATGGAATGATTGTAAGGTGTACATGTCTAGCGGGCAGGTGTCATCTGACCTTGACCTCATTTTCATGGTTCAGTGGTCAAAGTTAATTTTTTGAGTTTTGGTCTTTTTTTCTAATACTATATGCAAAAGTTCAACTATATTTGGTGTATGGAAATATTTTATGATCTATTTGTCAGTCACACAGTTTTTTTTTTTACCTTGACCTCATTTTCAAGGTTCATTGCTCAGTGTTAAGTTTTTGTGTTTTGGTCTGTTTTTCTTAAACTAAAAGCAATAGATCAACTATATTTGTTGTATGGAAGAATTGTTAGCTGTACATGCCTGCCTAGCATGGTTCATCTGACCTTGACCTCATTTTCATGGTTCATTGGTCAATGTTTAGTTAACTTGGTTAATAATAAGTTTATGTGACAGTTGTAATAAAGCTTTATATTTAGGACTATCAACATAATATCAATGATAAGTAAAGAAGGCGAGACATTTCAGTGTGTGCACTCTTGTTTACTTTAAAGTATAACTGCAACCTGTTCAAATGTACTTTTATTTAGGATGTGAGAATTGCTGCATCATAATTAGCAATATGAAATATGTTGTCTATTAATATAATTTACATAATCTGTTGATGACATAGCATTGCATTCAATATCACTCTTTGTTTATCTATCGTTATTCAAGCAATCACATCAGTGTTTAAAATTTTAAATCTTATCAATATATCACAGCTATTCTTTCTAAAACATTTAAGTATTAGGGTACCTTTATCCTTTTAGAAATGAATTTCTTTAAAGTTTTATTATAAAATTAAGTTTAATCCTGATGCTATAAACTTCAACAAAGGCTGCTACTCACATTCTACTTTATAAACCAAAATTATCCACAGACTGGTATTGTATAATTGTGATGTCACTCAATATCATTTTTGACCTTTGTGTACCTGAGCTGCCTGATGGTATAATATTTATTTGTCAATGAGATAAATATATTTTTAAGATATTGATCATACCTTTTTCTTTTTAAATCCCTGTTAATTAATATTCTTACAAAAATTGCATCTTCAAGATAACTGATTTTTAGTTGCCTTCCACTTTTATGCTAAATGAACATAATTGGGCAGTATTTCGAAATTTTATAAAATTATTTACCTATCTGAAACATGTTGCACTGCATCTGAATATCAAAAAAATTTATATATTATTATGTAGCATTTATACTTTCAAACCAATCTAATCAATTAAAATTAAATAGGTTTTAAAATGTATAGAATGTATTATGAAGCAGCAAAAAAAATGCCTTTTTGTCACTTTAAATTGCAGTATTTCTCCAAATTCCGTCAAAAAAAATTGTATAAAAATTATATATTATTGGTGTGAGCAGTTCTGTTTATATAGAATTAAAAGCTGTGACCTTTACATTTTAAATGAAGTGCAGAAGTGATTCTTGCCAAAAATGTGATGGTCACTTGCTTTCATTTCATATAAATTTTCAAAAACACAGCATTCAATTCTTTAATTTCTTAAATAAACAGATCTTCGAAATAAAAAAATGAATGCGTTATTAACAATTTGAATATGAAAGAAAAACCTAAAAAACAAAACTTTGGCAGAAATTGTCTAGTGAGTATCAATTCACACCAAATCAAGTATGTGTCATGTAGCTAAAATTTGAATATTAATTATGAATATGATATTGTTTTGCAAATAAATAATTCTTATGTGTTTTTTTAAGCTACGAGATGTATTATCAGTAAGACTTTCATATACTTTTCTTCAGATGTTGTCAACTTTATAGAAATGTTTTTGAATGTACATATCTTTTTTAAATAATTTGCAAATGTCTCCAGCAACATTTAATTATTCCCCTTGTATTTGCTTAAAACCTTTCTTTTTTTAGTTATAGAGTTCTTGCTCACACTTCCAAAGCATGTGATATATGTATATACATTTATTATCGACCTTTGAATAATGGGGATAAATCTAACATGGCATTTTTTCTCTGTGGCAAAGAAACAGACAGTTATCCTGATGACCCCCCCCCCCCCCCCCCTTTCCATCCCCACCCACATTGTATAGACAAAATTTGTCCTGATCAACACACATAGAATTGGAAAGAGACACAACACCCGAAACAAAATATTTGTTCTTTATCTCTTCATTTATACAAGAGTTTTTTTTAAATTAAGCAAATAATATTTGATAGATTTACCATATTAAGATAAAGAAGAACAACTGGAGTTATAAATTTGTAGGCACTTTCACTGGACAGGTTGTGTTGGAAATTTTATGAAACAAATCATCATTGAACTAAAACACTTGAGTAGCCCCTCCTGTTTATATTGTATGACTGACATGTCTGCATGGTTGTAGTACAATTGTTTACTGTTGTTTAGTTATTATCAGTATTTTGTTTTAAGAACTTATCTGCATGTATAATTTAGGACAGAAAAAGTATGAAAAGATTGCACCACCCTTTTAAATCTGCTTGTAATCCAATATATATCATGAATCACCCCATTGCTAGATGAATACACACTTAACATGTAAGACCAAAATCTAACAAAAGAAATACATGTACATTGTATATCCATGGTATAATTAAAATTTGATAAATCTTCATTTAACCATGCTTATTAATGAACAATTTCTTAACTGTACAATGAATCTTTTTTTATAACAAGAAATTAATTCAAGAAATTTTCCATTTATATTTTTGAAATTGAAATTATTCATAAATCTTCTGATTTTGACTATATAAATATGACCATGATGGTCTAAGTTGTCCAACTACTGTATCACTAGCATGTCAACACTGAGGTTATCCCGCATGTATCAAATGCATTGATTCCAATTCTAATGGACTAGGATTGTCAGTTTTCCTACCGAAGGTCCATGGTTATTTCTGGGCAATACTGCTTCCTCCAACAACAAAATCTGACCACCATGAAATAGTCAATAGTGCTGAAAGTGGCTTTAAATACCAATCAATCAATCAATCAATCAATCAATATGATAAAAAAAAATTAAGTCATTGCTAGGTGTAGGTGAAGAATTGATGAAGATTTATTGAAAATTGTTATGTTTAGGTCAAATAATAATTTTAATTGCCACCCCCCCTTTTTTCAAAGTTTAAAAGCTTTCATAAGCTTTGATTTAAAAACAGCAAAACATTTTTTTTCTTATATTGTGATCATGTGACATCTTAGTTAATGGTTTTACATACCAATACTTTCTCTGAAGTTTTTGTGATTTAAAGGTAATCGATACAGTGAAACTTGGTATTACCTGATTTATTAGAATTATTGATAGCTCATACAAACTTGGTATTACCTGATTAATTAGAATTATTGATAGCTCATACATATTTAACTTATAAGTGATTTAACAATACTATCATTGGAATTATTTTTTGTTTAATTAAGGATTTACACATACTTTAAATGGTTCAGGGCATTTTTTTTTTATCACTACAGCAAAGACAATTATTGAATTTAAGATTTCTAAGTATTATAGACAATAAAGAATTCATACAGTTAAAAATTTCCTGCTTCAGAATCCAATATTGAATTGTTATTATTAGTCATAAAGTAAGCTAACTGTACAAATTTTAAGAGAAAGGGAGGGATGCATGATTTCAGTATAAAAATATGGAGATGAGGTGTGATCAGTGTTTACCTTGTAAATATATAGTGCATATAAGGGGAGTTTTAAAAGTTTCTTATTTTATTGTCTTTTTATGATTTTGAGATGTAATAAGGAGAGAAATGACATCTTAGAAAAATATAAAACAAAGCTTTTTATTGAAAGTTGAGGCAAAAGGAATTTACTAGTGTTTTTGTTGAAACTACATGTATAGTACAACAATAAGATTTTCTTAGACTATTAGTTCTGGCAATGGAGTAGTCTAATTATATATTATCTAAAGCTTATACTTTTCAGATCATATTAATTCTGTTAATGTATAAATTATTTTTATTCCTGAACTTGCTGATATACTTGCCATTGTTCATTAAACAAACAACATGAATAATATTTTGGAAAGCCATTTCATGTATACAGAATGCAATAGCACATTTAAAATAAATTTCATAACCTATTGTAATAGGTGATTAAATGTATATGTAAGATCCATAAGGACATTGTTCAATCAGTATAGCCAAATAGAATTTGATAATATATTACAACTTTTAAAATCCTATTTGATATTTGATTGATTTGAATTAAATAAAATTTAAATCTTTAAGCAAGGTGAATTTTATTGTCACAGTATTAGTTGTAGAATAAGTTTTAACTAGTTAAGACAAATAAAAGGAAAAACTGATAAAGACGTGTAGAATTTTACTGGATTATCGTAAAGGGTTTAATGAATTAAATTTCAGATCAGTTTGAATATATGCCGTTAACATTGGACTTGTAATCAATAGGGTGAAGTTTGCATAGTAACCGTGGTGTGGGCCATGGGTCGTAAAAATACAATACATTAAAACACTGATTCAATCTTTGTATTGTCAAACTATTGTTTTGATATTTGAGGAATTTATTTAATAGAAACTGGTTTTGTGTTTATTTTCATAAGTGTAATTATGAATAATTCTCTTGCTAGTGCTGTTGGAGATGTAAAAATTCTTGATGTGAACCAAGAAGGAAAATTTGTGCGACTTGTCAATGAAGGCGGCAAGGTAAGATATTGTTTGTCACTTTAAATTTCTACAAAGACCTGGTGGGTGTTGATGACAAGATATAGGTTTTATAGTATATGCACACTTATATTTTGACAATCTTGAGAATCTGTTTTGTTAAATTGATATTTTTGACACGGGTTCAATTTGTGGTCTGTTGTTTCATTATTATTTAGGTATTTGCTGTGTTATAAGAAAATGTAGCTAGGTCATGCTTTGTTTTTCTAGAATCAAACTTCTTTTTGATTTAAGGAAAATGCAAACATCAACTAAATAGAAAACAGCTAAACCCATTAAACATTGCATATGTGTAATTTGAGAACTTATGGTAAATTTAAGTTAATGATTTGAAAGTTCAATGTCATTAATAAAAAAAAGGATAGTAACAATTTGCCAACTACCCATGTTTAATTGATATTGCACATGCCATGCATTACTGAATGTTTCGATAGAAAAAAATTCTTTTCAAAATTATTCTTTAGTTTTGTGCTTATAAATATTCAATATTATGCCTTTATTTAATCTGGTTATGAATCTATTAAGCTGGGATAATTAGTGTCTATTGAAAAAGCATTTATATTAAAAACTTTGTAATATTGAAAGCATTTTATGAAAAGCAAACATTTAATTATTTTTTTTGTCTAGAGGTTGAACATGAATGATATATTAGTAGGGTTTTAGTTTTAAATTCATATTAACAAGAAAGGTATCACAACAGGTTTGTTTGTGTCTAAAGATTTATATCACTTAGAATTGTACTACCAAATGTCATGTATAATGATCCATATTTGAGTCTTTTATACAAACAGAGTAATTATGCATTTCACCCTCTAAATTATAAATAGAAAACCAGACATATTTTTTTTATTACCTTTGAAAATATGTTCCATTAAACATTGATAATTTACTCTAATTAATATTAATATAAATAACATTGTAAATATAACTGTAATTTAAAATATTTTATCGTAACTACAAATTCTTTGGAGTTGAACACAGAGATATCATACAAGCTAGGTATGTTTGGGTCGTTATTTGTAGGTGAAAACATTCAATATTTACTTTGTTCTCCAAATTCTTGTATTTGATATGAATGAATACATGTTTCATTATATTTCAAAATCAGACTATTTACTTTACTAGTAAGCACTTAGGTTTTGAAAAATGGCATAGTAAACACTTTGGTTTTTAAAAATGGCAGAGTTTGATATACTGGTTTTAAAGTGACTGGTTCATTTCAAAAGAAGCCTAATTATATCTCAAATCTGAGCTTATTAGTTGGCCCTGGCACCTGTCTGACTGGTTAAGAATTAAAAATGTTATTTGTTTAAAACAGTTTGAATAAAACTGATTGTATAATTCTTTTGACAGACTGGCAGTGATGATATTTTTTCATATTTTGGGGGAAAATGAAAAATATTTTATCACAATAAAATGTTTTTTGTGATAGTTTGTGTGTGTCTTCTGTCTGTTAAGTTTTTACATGTTAATGTTCTCTGAAACCACTGAATCAAATGGAACCAAATTTAGCAGCAATGTTTCTTGGAAGGTCATTTACAGAATTTTTAAGTTGGTTCCAATGGAATATTCAACATGGCTGCTTGGCCCACTCGTGTGTTCTGATTGGCTGAAATTTCAAAAATCTTCGTGTCAGAAACCACATGACCAAATTAACTACTTTGCACAGCAAAAAAATCACAAGAACTACTGGAAAAACCTCTAAGTACTATAAATTCAGAAAAAATACACTAATTTATTCATTTTTTTCAATTTTTCATCAGATACAACTATTAAGTACCATTTACCTTTAAACTGTGTCTCTCTGCCCTTAAATGCTAGATAGAACACTGACTTATCAGTTTAGGTTTTTTCTAGCTAGTGGCAAATCAACATAAAAAAAATCAAAGAAGATTTATAATAAATGCTCAGATATTATTTGATCTTGCGTATAATATTGTTAGAACATGATACAGATTTGAATATTCCAGAACTAATACAATACATTAATTAGTACTGATTATCTGGTTTGCATCAATTAATGATTACAGTGTATTTTTATCTAACAGGAAGTAGAATTTGGAGGGTATATGTTACAACAGAATGTTGGAGGTCATCCTGTTGCAGTTTACCGATTCCCTCCTAGGACGAAATTCACTGGAAACAACACAATCACAGTGTGGTCTGGAAACAATGACCCCATGCTGCATCAGCCCCCAACAGATTATGTTTGGAAAGAACAAGAAAAATGGGGGACAGGGCCAGAATGTACAACAATTTTATGTAAACCTAATGGACAGGTCAGTAGTTGGTTTCAGAGGTTAAGCATTGTTATGTATGTAACTATTAAGTTTGCATTGCATGAAAATTTTTATTGTTTCACTTCCATAAAGTTGAATTTAAGGCCTATTACCTTTTGCTTATTCAACTATATTTAAGTATTAACAATGACATAGATGCATTTAAGTAACACAAAAGACATTTTTAAATGAGCTTGGTGGATGTGCCAGGTCTATTTCAGTTTATTTTGTGAATACAATTCAACACAATAACAGTCTATATTCTGGCTGATTTAAATCAATAGTATGCAGTGACAATTCTTTTTAAATTTGGATTCCAAATTACTGTATGACATGAGATATTACTTGTTTGGTGTATGTGTGAAAGGTATTATGCAATAGAAGAATTAAGATGTGATAAATGTATACATACAGTATAACATATTGCCAGGCATTTTAAAGTGAAGCATTGATACAAATAATCCCTAAAAAAAAGTCTTATCTCCTTATACACTGCTTACTGAACCAATGGTAAATGGTGATTGCTGTGTTTGCCTGTCAGTCTGTTTTAATTTCATTATTGAATGGTAACTGAGATTGTTGAATTGTATCTGAGATTATTGAATGGTATCTGGGAATATTGAATGGTATCTGTGATTATTGGATGGTGTCTGAGATTATAAAATTTGTTTTTTACACCAGGCTATAGCATGGACTACAGCAGCACACAGATTTACCAAGAATGCATTCGAAGATTCTAAAGCTCCATCAGAAGTAGATCAAATTCTAGGTAAGTATAATAAAAGGGAGATAACTGGTAAATGTAAGTGAGAAAGCAACCAAGCTAAACCAATAAGTTAAATCAAAAAGACATCATTGCATTCGTATGTGTTAAAATTTCACTAAGAGAAGTTACAGTAGATTTGTTAGCAATTTACACGTAAACAAATTATTTCCATGTCTTCACTTTTTTACCCAAATGTAAAGATAAGGTTACTTTACTAGTACTCAGTAAATGGTGGAATTCCTACTCAGTAAAGGTTATCTCTGTTATGTAGGCAGGGCATTTAGCTACTATGTAATTTTCATTCTACTCTACAATTGTATCTGAAAGGACCCAAACAACCAAAGGAACTAATCAAGTTTAAGTTGTATAAAATTGACCTTTAAAAGAAAAAATATGTTAACCTCTAGATGTTATTTGTGTAGATAGGTTGCTGCATGTGCTTCCTCATTGACGTATACTCTTACATCTCCTATTATTCATGAATGAAATGCAAGGAATGTTGTGTTTAAATTCATGATATTAAACCCAAAGTGATGGAACATTGCTTTTATTGGTGTTTCTCATATCAAAGGCATAGTTAGGCCTTCAAAACAGAAAAAACTAGCACCTCACTGCAATTTCAAAATGGCCATAAACACTGGTTAAAGTGGAAATCTTTGTTAGATGGCAAAAAAGTGAAGTAAACATTCGAGAAGTTATCTCTAGAACAAATACTCAGTGACAATAAAAATATGGGACCATACACTTAAAAGAAAATGGAAATTTTAACATGTATTTTATATGAGCTTTAAATATAGCGGAAAGGTAGGTTTCAAACGAAGAAAAATTTAAGATTTATAATCACCAATATTTTGTAGATATAAATGATGAACTTGACCAAGTTAACCAAATTGATGATGAAGGTTTGACAGAAATGACAGTTAACATCAATGAGCAAAGACCAGAGGCAGTATATCTAAGGAGGTATCAAATCACTAGTGTTTTTTTAGGGTTATCAATTTTGTCAGATATAAATAATTGTTGACTCAAATATTGAACCTGATAATACTGGAGTGGGTCTTGTTGTATGTATTACACTGATTCATGTAGAAAAGACAGTAAAATGAAACCAACCCAATTTTTGTTTTCTGTATACATTCAAAACTTGCTACAAAGATCACTTATATTAAGCAAAAAAGCTGTGTGGTCAGGTCACACTCTTATCCTGCTGTAGTAATACCTAATCCTTATGAACATAAATTCAGTGGTCACCTCTTATCTCTGGTTCCTAGAATGACCTTTAAAAACAGGTTTGACTGTAATTCAAATATGTTAATCTATAATAAGCAAGAGGAGAAATGGTATCCTGTAAATAACTGTAATAAATAATAAATATAATTCACAACACATCATAGAAAATAGTATAACATGCTAATATGTATTTAGAAACTACAAAAAATGTATACAGCAAAAATAATGAAAAAAATAACTCTAAAATTGAGAATGGAAATGGGGAACGTGTCAAAGAGACAACAACCCGACCAAAGAGCAGAAGACAGCCAAAGGCCACCAATGGGTCTTCAACACAGCGAGAAAATCCCGCACGCTGAGGCGGGCTTCAGCTGGCCCCTAAACAAAAATGTGTACTAGTTCAATGAAAATGGACGTCACACTAAACTCCAAAATATCTAAATGAACTAGTCACTCGTGTATGTAACAACGTATTTGATTTTAACGAAAGAAACCTCTGTATTACTGAAAAATTATTACACCAAGGTTTTCGATATCACAAACTAGTTAAAACATTTACTAAATTTTATCGGTACAAGGACATCATTCGTAAATATAAATCAATATGCAGACATCTTATACGTTCAGGTATTTCACATCCAATCTTTTATGGTACTATTCTATACAAAGCACAAAAATGTCGACATTCACCTCAAAAGGTAACCAAACTTTTAAACAGACTTATTAAGAAGGGATATAGTTACGATACTGTTGTCAGGTCATTAAAGATGGCATATTTTGGTATTAATATTGATTCACTCATAGGGTCTTTGCATTGGAAATAAACACATTTATTCTAAAACCAGTTGTTGGCATGATACAGGTTATGTTCTCCTCATATTTTTTATAATGGTATGATACTTAACCCCAACGGGAGGGATTGTGCTTTATTTTCATATGATGAAAACAATCTTTCAATCAGTTTAATTGAGGTCTGGAGCTGGCATGTCAGTAACTGCTAGTAGTCCTTTGTTAATTTATGTATCATTGTCATTTTGCTTAGTTTCTTTTGTTACCTTTGCTGACATCGGACTCTGACTTCTTTTAAACTGAGTTTTACTATGAGTATTGCTGTGTGTTTGTTTATTCTACATTGGCTAGAGGTATAGGGGGATGGTTGAGATCTCACAAAACATGTTTAACCCCGCCGCATTTTTGCGCCTGTCCCAAGTCAGGAGCCTCTGGTCATTGTTAGTCTTGTATGTTTTTTAATTTTAGTTCATTTATATGTTTTGGAGTTTAGTGTGATGTCCATTTTCATTGAACTAGTACACATTTTTGTTTAGGGGCCAGCTGAAGCCTGCCTCCGAGGTGCGGGATTTTCTCGCTGTGTTGAAGACCCATTGGTGGCCTTCGGCTGTTTTCTGCTCTTTGGTTGGATTGTTGTCTCTTTGACACATTCTCAATTTTAAAATTAAAAAACATACCAGACTAACAAAGGCCAGAGGCTTGTTTAACTTGTTTAAATGTTTTAAATATCAGGAGAAACATTTTATTACTGTATTTTGTAGACAGAAACAGCAACCACCAACCCTGTCCCCACAGAAACATCCACATGGAAGTAATCCTATTAAAGAGGTCCATCCTCACACAAGTCAACCACGCCCTTTTACATATGGAAATGACAATAGCAGTGTAAACAGACAGTCCAGGTCACAAACAACTAGACCTGACCCTATTCCAGGTAATGTACAGCTGTGTAAACAGACAGCCTAGGTCACAAACAACTAGAACTGACCCTATTCCAGGTAATGTACAGCTGTGTAAACAGACAGCCTAGGTCACAAACAACTAGACCTGACCCTATTCCAGGTAATGTATAGCTGTGTAAACATACAGCCTATGTCACAAACAACTAGACCTGACCCTATTCCAGGTAATGTACAGCTGTGTAAACAGACAGCCTAGGTCACAAACAACTAGACCTAACCCTATTCCAGGTAATGTACAGCTGTGTAAACAGACAGCCTAGGTCATAAAACAACTAGACCTGACCCTATTCCAGGTAATGTACAGCAGTGTTAACAGACAGCTTAGGTCACAAACAACTAGACCTGACCCTATTCCAGGTAATGTACAGCTGTGTAAACAGACAGCCTAGGTCACAAACAACTAGAACTGACCCTATTCCAGGTAATGTACAGCTGCGTAAACAGACAGCCTAGGTCACAAACAACTAGACCTGACCCTATTCCAGGTAATGTATAGCTGTGTAAACATACAGCCTAGGTCACAAACAACTAGACCTGACCCTATTCCAGGTAATGTACAGCTGTGTAAACAGACAGCCTAGGTCACAAACAACTAGACCTAACCCTATTCCAGGTAATGTACAGCTGTGTAAACAGACAGCCTAGGTCATAAAACAACTAGACCTGACCCTATTCCAGGTAATGTACAGCAGTGTTAACAGACAGCTTAGGTCACAAACAACTAGACCTGACCCTATTCCAGGTAATGTACAGCTGTGTAAACAGACAGCCTAGGTCACAAACAACTAGACCTGACCCTATTCCAGGTAATGTACAGCTGTGTAAACAGACAGCCTAGGTCACAAACAACTAGACCTGACCCTATTCCAGGTAATGTACAGCTGTGTAAACATACAGCCTAGGTCATAAACGACAAGACCTGACCCTATTCCAGGTAATGTACAGCTGTGTAAACAGACAGCCTAGGTCACAAACAACTAGACCTGACCCTATTCCAGGTAGCATACAGCTGTGTTAACATACAGCCTAGGTCATAAACAACAAGACCTGACCCTATTCCAGGTAATGTACAGCTGTGTAAACAGACAGCCTAGGTCACAAACAACTATACCTGACCCTATTCCAGGTAGCATACAGCTGTGTTAACATACAGCCTAGGTCATAAACAATAAGACCTGACCCTATTCCAGGTAATGTACAGCTGTGTAAAAAGACAGTATAGGTACTAACAATTAGACCTGGCCCTATTCTGGTTAATGTGCAGCTGTGTAAAAAGACAGTATAGGTACTAACAATTAGACCTGACCCTATTCTGGTTAATGTGCAGCTGTGTAAATAGGCAGTCTAGGTCACAAAAGACAAGACCAGAAACAAATCATTTTAGATAGCTTTTAAGCCATCAAAGTATGTCATTTATGTTACCTTGTAAGCCAGCACAGTGTGTCATTTAAGTTACCTTGTAAGCCAGCACAGTGTTATTTAAGTTACCTTTTGATCCAGCACAGTATGTCATTAAGTTAATTTGCGATCCAGTACAGTATATGTCATTTAAGTTGCCTTGTGAGCCAGCATAGTATGCAATTTAGGTTACCTCGTGAGCCATCTCAGTATGTCATTTAGGTTAACTACTAGCCATACAGTATGCCATTTAGGTTAATTTAATTTTTTTTTTCATAAGATTTAAAATATAAACAAATGGCTTTTGTGAAGAAAATTTTAAAAAAATGTAATAATATTTATTATTTAATTTCAGGTGCACCCTATGCTGGTGCCTCAGCACAAAGAATGGGAAGTGCTTCACTTAGAAAATATAGTCCTACACATAATATACGAGGGAATGGTACAATTACAAATAAAAGTGTAAGTCTTGCATGCTGCATAAACATTTGCAAGATGTTTATAGTAACCTCAAAATTTAAAACCATATTTAACATGTTAGACTAACATGTAACACTAAATTTGGAAAATTTATTAAAATGCTTTTATAATGGCTTGTATAATAAGATTTGTTTTTAAAGGGAGGTTATTCTTGCATGAAAGTTAACTTTAGTGCTTCAGTAGGCTCTTAGTACTTTTTAGATATTTTTAATATCAAATACTTAGCATAAATAATTTTATTGCAGTTTTTGAATGCAGTTCCTTTTTTCATTATAGCCAGATTCAAAAACATGAATATTTTGAAACAACAAAAGTTAAATCATTTAAATTTTGATTTTACCAAAAATCAGCCTCAAACTCTGGTGTAAAAAAATCTTCAACTATTGGATATTATTATTCAAATACATGTAGCTGTTAAGAAGTATATAATAATTCTCTTACACTTTTCATACTAAAAATTCTAATAGGTGTAATTTCATAATTCTGAGAAATCAAAAATCTGTTTTGTAAATAAATGTTTTTTTTAATCATTTTTCTTTCTTTCTGTTTTTTAAATTTTAATTTATTATTTGATAATCAGATAACCTATTGCATGGACATTTCATTCTTTTGCACTGCCTGGTTTGCACTTCTTGTTTATTATAGAAAGATTTCAACAAATCAGTTACATCAAGCAATTAAAAAAAAATTCCTCTCTCATATAAAAATACCTAAATTTTCCTGAGAAGTATTGTTTGACATGGTATAATTTGTCCTTTACAAGGGAAATCTTTAAGGCTGATTCTGGAAATATTCAGATGGAAAAAAACTTCAGGTTCAAAATAAGATAACATGTGCACTTTAAAAAATACAAAAATTATGAACAAGACCTCAGAAAAATTTTGCACAGAAATTAATTGCTTTAAACAATATCATCCAATACACAATATATAATGACATATTTTGAATGATATAACTGGACTTTCTCTGGATAGGGATGCTTCCCAGTTGTATAACATACTCCTACTTATTAACATCAACGTTAAGATCATAAATAAGAAATAGTAGATTTGTTGGAACCTTTCTTAATCACATATCTTCAAGATGCACATTGTTATTAAATTGTGTGTGTGTTTTTGTGGTTTGATAATAAATGTATTTTGTGAAATTTTCATTTTCATAATTAATTGATCACTTACAAACTTCAATAAAAGGCATCTGAAATATGAAACATAAAAACATCAAATCTCTGATAATTTATTTTTTCTTTACAACCATGTACATTGGCTCCCAAGAAATTGCAAGAGTAAGCATGTAATTGCTTACATCCACTTCATTTGAACTTTGGTGGATAGTTGTCTCATTGACAAAATATAAATCACATCTCCTTATTTTTATATGCACAACTTATTTTGTTGCACACTGGTCAAGATCAGTGTCAAAACCTTTATTGTTGCAATCATTATTGTTCAGTTGAAACAGATTGATTCAGATGATTTTACCTTAGATTTATCTGAATATACTGGTATTCAGAGCAACATGTTATGTTTTTTTTAAGATTAAAAAAAAAAATCCTTTCTAACATTTGTACAGCACTTATCAGAAGATGTCATAGAGTGTCATCTTATATCAATTAATCTGAACACATATTTTTGGCCATGATTTGTATAGTGTGGCTGTTCAACTAGCATTTAAATAGCACAAATGAAAAGTTGCATTTTGCACATATCTTGAATAAATTTATTTACACTAGATATATGCACCTAGATAGATATGAAAATTGTTGCCATTCAGTAATTTTGAAGTGATTTTTAATTGTGTTTGAGTGTTCTCCAACTAATTATTGTTTACGAAACATATAATTGTTATATTGTTCAATGTACATTGAGAGGAAATTGTTCAGTATGGATTTTAGGTTTTATGAAGATGGAACAATATAATAAGAACAGACTCTTATACAACTTGCTATGAGACGATCAGTAATCAAAAAACAAAATACCCTGACTTGTCACATGCACAAGAACATGACTTTGTCAACTAATCTTATTTGAAAAACTCTGTGAATTTGGAGTCATCCATTTTATCAACAACAAAAAAAGAAAACAATGTAGATAATGACTGCAAAATGTAACCTGTTATTTTTATTTTGGATTTTTCAGAAATCTAGCTTCCTGAATTATCTCCTTACCACACCAGAACACTGATTAAATGTAAAGGTTTTCACTGTTTTATTTGGTTGTATGTAATCCTTTATTCCAATCAATATGGTGTTGGTCAGTTGTAGCTATCTTGTCAAAGGTTGATAATTCATAGCAATTCATGGAACTAAATGGAGATTTATTCCTTAAAATTATAAAATATTTTTGATAAGTTCAGGTAAGAAATACTGAACATGAAAAATTGTATATTTAGATGTTTTACTTAAGAATATTTTGGTCAATGATACATTTAACAATTATTGCATCTGAAAGCTTTCAATAGATACACAAATAATACGTTGGTCCTTAGTTTCACAGAATAATCAAAAACTCTATCATTAGTATTTTATTTTTGTTTGCTAGATAACTCTGGTGTTGGAATAGAGGTTTATATAGTTGTTTATTTTTCAAATAATGTGTGGAGCTTATACATTATAATTCTGTTGTTTTAATTATTTATTGTTTGAGTTTATTAAATCTTGTATTTAGAATGAAACTGAGATTTCAAGATATGAAGTTTAGATCTTATTTATTGAAAAATACAACTACTAAAAAAGTCAAGTTTCCACATTATTTTGAAAATATTTGTAATTATTGCAAATTGGTTGTGTATTGATACATATTTCAACTTTTACCACATTTTGTATTCAATTTCTGAAAATCTCATTTTCATTGTAGGACAAGGGATGTAACTGTGTTTTTCACTAATGTCCATGCACATGGTATTCTTATATGTTTAAATGTTAATCAGTTTTGACACAACTCTATTTTTAGGCTGGCTCAATACGTATTGGACAACCATCGCCTTTTCATTCTCCTCTACAACAGGAGTTTGCCCAAGCTTATGACAACCGATTGACTTCTCTCGTGCGCTTCAGTTCATAACTTAGGTGTGTTTTACACAGCAAAACTTTTTATTTTTTCTTTTCTTAATAACAGATCAAGAATCATCTCAAAAGTTTAATTATATTTGTAGAATAACTTTATCTCATGAATGGGTGGTTAAAGTCTTTTATTGGTGCATTTTACATTGATATGAACTTCTATTTTTTTAACCATGGTCTTTTATTGTAAAATTATAAATAATGATTTACCAGGCTATAAAGATAAATACGGAATGTCAGTTTTAATAACAGGCAAAACACAGAATCAACATTTCTTTCAACTTTTGTTTATTGGATGGGTGCAATTTAGTTAAATTAACATGTACTTTCATCTTCCTTCATGCCACTTTTAACAGATTCTAATGAAAGTCTAGTTTTAATCAGATTGCTATGCAAGTTAATGTTTTAAAAAAGTAACTTAAAATACAAGTAAACTTTTGAGATGATGTCTTACAAATGCTATTTGCTAATGCTGAAGATAGTCCTGTCTAAGTTTTATTTTATGTACCTGTATTGGTAATGGTCTAGAAGATAATTGTTCATTTATATGCATAAACAATCTCAGGCTTTTCCTGAAAATAATTTTTATGAGAGGGTTATTTTTTATTCCAGATATTGAATATTTGTAGCGGTGAAAAAATAACTAAAACATGCTTAGGAGGTTCTATTTCTTTAGACACAAGTTCTTACCCTTCCAAAATTTCTGTATCTGGTGTTGATAAAGAATATTGGAGAAAAGTCATTTTTTTATGACAGCATTACGAATAAGTTTATAAAGTTATGTTTTTCAGAATAATTGAATTAAAGTTCTAGATTTTAGTCAAGCACATAATTACTTTGATTATTTTGGTTGTAACTTTAGTTTTTTGTTCAATTTCTCTACCATGTGACCTTGTACTAATTTTTCATTGTTTAGTTCATCAACTGAACATAGACGAAGGTTAACATGAATTTCTCACAAAGATATGTACCTCTGTAATATTAAATGAAGCAGACATCACTGAACACTAAAACTTAGGCAGTATGAACTATAAAAACCCATGGAGACATCATGGTTTTTTGACTCTATAATGTTTTTTTAATCAATCAATGAATTGTATCTAGTTTCATGTTGATAGCAAGGTTCTCCAGTAATTCTAATGATTGTGGTTTGACTCTAAGCATTTCAAGCAGTATATTATATCAATTGTGTCGCTTGATGTCGAAATTATCTGATAGATAAGATTTACAAAATAGAGGAGGTCTGATAATAGAAATAAGTTATATTAAACTCAAGTATCAAAATTATCCAAATACATATAATGCAATTGTTAATAGGACCCAGCTGAATATTTAGTGGTGCCCTTAAGTAATCACTGTCTGTCCATCTGTCTGTCAGTACTTCTATGTTGTGTGATAAGTCAATATTGCCACAACTGATTTCCAAAATTTATATGCACAGTGTCAATACCTTTGAAAGGAAGGTCCCTGTTGATTAGTGATAAATTTGGACAAATATTTTGTTAAAAAAAACTTTTAAATATTGAGAAACCTCTTTTTATATTTATTTCAACAAAAACTGATATATAAATATAATTTGCTATTCCAAAATGATTCTCTGTGTCAAAAATTATTGGTTGCCCACCATTAACGAAACTTATTTTTATCGAGAACTCTTCCTGAATTAATTGCTGGTGTCTAAATTTATAAAAATTGACAAACCATGAACATGAATTGCTGTCTACGCATCAGTTTCTGTGCCATGACAAAAATGTGCTAGGGGGGGCCCTTGCTGACATGTCAGTTTTCAAGTTATCTATGGTGGGTATGAGCAAAAGGAGATGTTGGTTTTTTATATCAATGATACAGCAACTTAACAACACAAAAAATATAAGACATTCAGATGTGTACAAACAGTCTTCAGAATAGGCAGATGTCTTAAAATTAGTTTAACCTCTAAATATCTTCAAGTTGAAAAAAAAGAAAAATATCTGTTTAATACATACTGACATTTGAATGATATGCCATCTACCAAACATTTCTCTAACTAAAGGATAACTCAGTTGTAACACATGTTCTATATTCATTTCAAATGAATTATATGTATATCTGATAAATAAATCAAATACGGTCAATTCATAGATTTAAAATTTATAGCATAATTTATATGCAGCATTTACTCAAATCATAATAGTTCAACTCACTTTCATGTCCATTTGTCTAATCCAAATTTTAAATACACAAAAAATAAATTTCTGATTTTCAGAAAAACTTATATCCAGTCACTGCTGATATTCACAAAAAAGAATAAGAAAAGCCCATCAAATTGCTGTTTTCAATCCTGCACGGGGCAGGTGCACTCAACTCTAATCTTAATTGACTAGGATTGTCAGTTTTCCTACCAAAGGTCGGAGGTTCTCTCTGGGCACTCCGGCTTCCTCCACCAATAAAATCTGACTGCCACGAAATAGCACAATAGTGTCGAAAGTAGCGTTAAGCACCAATCAATCAATCAATCAAATTGCTGTTTTCAGTGTTGCATGTGTGACATATATCTCCTGTTGTAACATATATATTTCTTTTTATGTTTATCAGTTACATTGTAATGCAATTCCACCTTTTTGATTGAGCCTGCATATAAGACTGTTAGAAATCCTTCAGGTTCCAATGATATGTCAATGATATGTATGGATGATACCAATGACATTACACTGTGTGTAGATTTTACATCCAAATTGTAGCATATTTATCAATGTTAATGTGTGCAGGTCTAACTTATTAAAATACATTAACCAACCAATATAACATGTTTTAAATACATCTGCAATTTTACATAATTGTTTTTATACAGCACCTATTTAAATAGATGGTCGTTTATGCAGTTTCTATACCCAAATTTCTTTTTTTATAGAAACATATGTTCTCACTAATTACTAAGAGTTTTACATATAAGCTATATGAACAAAATGGGTAACTTGTAGCTTCTAGTTGGTTATTAATTGGTTATACCAAAGTTTACTGCCATCAGTTTATCAGATATATATATATGAGGTTGTCATTTTATTGTACGATTTTACAATGTTATTAAATTTAAAAAAGAAAATGTGATATATAAAAATAAGAAGATGTTGTATGATTGCCAATTAGACCACTCTCCAAAAGAGACCAAATAACATAGAAATTAACAACTAAAGGTCACCGTATGGCCTTCAACAATGAGCAAAGCCCATACCGCATAGTCAGCTATAAAAGGCCCCAAAATGACAAATGTATAACAATTCAAACGAGAAAACTAAAGGCCTAATTTATGTACAAAATAATGAACGAAAAACAAATATGTTACACAGCAACAAACGACAACCTGTGAATTACAGGCTGCTGACTTGGGACAAGCACATACAGAAACTTGTTTGAAGGCACCAACCCTCCCCCTAACCTGGGACTTTCTTGCTGATGAGACTACTATCTACTGGAGTCAATATGTTGTGAATGCCTTCAACAATGAGCAACACCCAATACTGCATAGGATGCTTTAAAGACATCACAAATTTGAAACACATTCAAACAAGAAAACAAACGGCCTGATTGATTCTAAATAATAAAGGTAAAACAAATATGGCACACTGCAACCGATGACAACCACTGAATTACAGGCCCCAAACTTGGGACGTGTTTCATAGCTTGACCAATAATCTTTCTTTTCTTCTATAAAAAGATTTAATTCTTTTCTTCTATAAAAAGATGTAATTCTTTTCTTCTATAAAAAGATTTAATTCTGTCAGGAAAACTGACAATAACCTTAATTATTCTCTCAACGTAAAATCTAAGATTGGTGCTTCCAAATTTTGACGGTAAAAAAGAAAGTTAAATTTTTAGCATATCATATGGATACAATATATTGCTGTCATAAAAAAAAACCCAAGGTTAGTTAAAAGAACTGTTCCCTAAATAGAAAGAAAATATTTCTTATTTGTATACTTTTAAATTATCTCCAGTTCTTTAATATTTGTTATTTATAATAATTGAGTTATGTCTAAAATTTCAATTTAATTTCAGCAGGAAGATGAACAGAATGAAAGAACTTCAACACCACCGAATCCTTTCATGACTCCACATAACAAGTTCGACAATGGGCTTAAACAACTTGCGTCTCAACACAATGTAGACTTCTTGCCACCTATGCCAAGGCCACCATTATTTTCAACATGGTAGGGTTTGACTGAGGAGAAGATGCTTTAGTACGCTAGGATATTTATATGATACCTAAGTTTATTTATTTGCAGTATACTGTTTTCTGTTATCTATAAATCTCATTCAATTCCATGGTTATTACCTCATTAATTTCACCTGATTGAGCATGGCTTAAACAGCAACATAATTTAGGGATGATTTATTAAAGAAATGTAAATAGTGAAACTGATTTCTTTTCATCTAATGGATATCGCCATATGAATATATTTTAATACTTTACTGAACATGCACCTGTGATTTACATTTACATATTTGAGTATTGTGTAGACGAAGCATGTACTTCATACTAAGGATATCTTTGAGGACTTTTTATAGCCTACCTTTTCTGAAAAGAATATGGTTTAATTATGAAGCCCTTTAAGTCATACCTAATCAGGTTGAAATTATCAAATAATTATTTGAAGAAGAATAGAAAATGCTTCATAAGAATTATAGAATTTTCAGGGAATACTTTTATGTTTATGATATATTGGATGGATCAATCAATGAAATTAAAATAAGGCATTTGTTATTTTATGAGAAATTTTCAAATGCCAAAGATCAGTGTTTTTAAGGCAAAACTTAAGGTGAAAAGCGAAATTTTAGTAGAATCCTTATTTGTGTCTTTTAATGTGATGATTTCTGAAAAATTAATAAACAATTTTGAATAGGCATTTTTTTTAAACATTTAACTGTGGACATGTGTGTGTAGTGTAGACCAGGGATTTGTCTTAATCATCGAACATTTTATAGTACAATGTATATAAAATCATTCAGGGATATAACTGGTCTATACATTTAAACACTTAGTTACATTTTAAGATAAACTGTTTTTAATGTAATTTTTAACTAAGAGGTAATAAATATCCTTCCTAATGTAATAGATAAGTTTTCCTTTTTTTTTAAAGAAATATTTATTATTGACAGGGTTAATACAGGGTATATTTTGTTAACATATTTCTATTCATTTTCTGATTCAATCAGAATATTTCTTTGGTGGTATGGGAAGGGAAAATTTCTTTTTTTCACAAGTGTAAAACATTGGTTTGATTATCTCCCTTTATTTATTTTAATGGATTAAATTATTAATTGATGTGATGTTTTCCTGATCTATAATCTTTACAACAGTTAACATTACTAGTTAAGCCTATTCTAAATGTGCCAAATGTAAAACTGTTATTTTTATATGGTCTTGTACTTAATAGACGACACCTGCTGACTTTCTGCATTTAATTGTTTACTATATATGTAGCTAGTATGTATTTGTTTATATAACATAGTATATAATTTTTTCATATTCATTATCAGACTATTTAAGTAATTGTATTTCATCAAAGGCAAAGTTTTGCTCTACATTTATAAAATAGTTATATTAAACTGGAATGTTTGGCTCATTATGCCAAAAGAAAACACTTTTAAGATAATTAAAAAATGTGTCAATGAAAATGAAGCCCTGTGTTTTAGATAATTTTTTTCATTTTATAAATTAACTCCCTTGGAAATGTATAATATTTTGAATTGCAGATAAACCTCTACATGTCTTTTGTTTTGGTTGTGTATGGGGTTGCTGTCTCTGATGTTTGCCTGACATCCATGAAAACAAAAACACGAAATGTTAAAGTAAGAATATGTCTTTTTTCAGTAATGTATTCCTGTACAAAATGTCTTTATTTATCTGATATGAGAAATGTTAGTTAGTGAATACATTACCATTATATTAAAGAAATAGTATGCAAGTATTGTTAACAGTTATCTTGTCATTGTATATGATTGATAATGAATTGTTAACAGTTATCTTGTCATTGTATATGATTGATAATGAATTGTTAACAGTTATCTTGTCATTGTATATGATTGATAATGTATTGTTAACAGTTATCTTGTCATTGTATATGATTGATAATGAATTGTTAACAGTTATCTTGTCATTGTATATGATTGATAATGTATTGTTAACAGTTATCTTGTCATTGTATATGATTGATAATGAATTGTTAACAGTTATACTTATCATTGTATATCATTGATTTGTTAATAAAATAGAGAAAATTTCTGTGATTTTAGAAGACTGTGATATACAAATAATTTTATATAGCTGTTTGTAGTTGTTTAGTGCTCATGAAGCAGAATATATATAAACCAATGAATATGCATTATTCATATTGTAGTTTTCTTGGAAGAATTTATGCATAAATATCATTTATAAAGTGCAACTTTAGTTTAATATGATATATAATTTATTTGAATACATACAATTTAATTGTTCCAAGAATAAATAAATGTTTTGTGTTTGTTTTGTTTATATTTTGTAAGTGATTGTCTCAATTACATTTCATATCTTTATTTTTTGTTGAGAAAAAAGTCATTGAAAGTTCATATTGAATTAAGAATTGTGAAGAACAATCTTTTTCATGTCCTATAGGTCATTAAACACACGGTCATGTGTGAACTATGTAATAATATCTCTTTTTAGTTTAAGTTTAATTTGTTCGTTTTTTTAAATTATGGGGAACCTTTGAAGAAAATTTCCTGTAAATTGAGTATCATTTCATAATGCTGGGTGAAATTCTTGTTTAAAGTAAGAAGAAAGTGGTACAAGCAAGGAAAGGTATGCATTTCAAATTTCAAAAAGGCCTGAGCAAATGTTCGATCATCATTCCAGACTTTAAAATATTACTAAATCACAAAGGTTTTGGGAATGGGTACCTCATATTTGTAACCAACTGACTTCTGTAATTTTCAAACCAGACAACTAAAGTTTGAAAGTGTTGACATAAACATTGAAGACTTTGGAGATTTTTGTCCTTACTACTGTTTACTGTTCTCAGAATGGGGATTTTTTGTCCTTACTACTGTTTACTGTTCTCAGAATGGAGATTTTCACTTCAAGTTCCCTCTTCCACTGCCAATGTAATATGACGTCTGGATATTTAAGGAAAACATATTTCAATGTTATGTATGGATGTCGGATGAGCATTGCAGGCTCCTTGGAGCTTACAGTTTTAAATTTTAATTTGCATATATTTTAATTAGTTAGTGTTAATTTGTATTTTGCTTTTATATTTTTAAAATTTGAAAAGTATTTTCTTATAATGAACACTTGCAGTGTTGAAGTATTACATGTTAGATCAAAATATTTCATATATAATAAATACAATGATTTTGTCGGTTTGTTTTCTTCTTATTCAAAATTAGACATGTGATGTGTGAGTATGAATAAATAAATTGGTGAGTATGAATAAATAAATTGACTGTAAATTCTGAAATTTTGGCAATGTTTTCATTATTTCAAAAAATGTGACAGGATATGTTTGGTAGAATAGATTTACATTTCAAATTTTGATAAACAATTTGTATGCAGCATTTCCTGAAATTGCAATAATAAATCTGACATTTTTGTCCACAGTTTAATCATTGCAATAATAAATCTGACATTTTTGTCCACAGTTTAATCATTATAATAATAAATCTTACATTTTTGTCCACAGTTTAATCATTGCAATAATAAATCTCACATTTTTGTCCTCAGTATTGCAATAATAAATCTGACATTTTTGTCCACAGTTTAATCATTGCAATAATAAATCTGACATTTTTGTCCACAGTTTAATCATTGCAATAATAAATCTGACATTTTTGTCCTCAGTTTAACCATTGCAATAATAAATCTGACATTTTTGTCCACAGTTTAATCATTGCAATAATAAATCTGACATTTTTGTCCACAGTTTAATCATTGCAATAATAAATCTGACATTTTTGTCCACAGTTTAACCATTGCAATAATAAATCTGACATTTTTGTCCTCAGTTTAACCATTGCAATAATAAATCTGACATTTTTGTCCACAGTTTAATCATTGCAATAATAAATCTGACATTTTTGTCCACAGTTTAACCATTGCAATGAATGCAAAATTTCCAACTACAGTAGGCATGTTTTGTCTCCTTAGATGGGGGCAGTGTCCCTGTTACTACAACAATAGAGTACTTCTGATATCAAAGCAAGGTAATTTTCAGATGCAAGCTGGGAAATTCTTTTAAAATGTATTTTTTCAGAATTAAATGGTTTGCACAATTGACCCATCTGCTTTTCTGAGATTACCAAAACAAATAATGGCAATACACTAGTTCCAGAGACTATGTCCTTTGTCACAGATAACACCTGCCTCATATTAGTTAAATTTTAACTCAAAATACAAAGGAATGTTTGGAAGTATTTACCTGAAATAGAAGTCATTGGGTCACAGTTTTCACAATGGTCCTCATCTGAACTATTTATAGTTGCTAACCTTCTACATTATTTGGTCTCTGGTTGTCTCATTAAACTGGAGGTGTGTTATGATTGCCAATTATGGCAATGATACAACTATCCACCAGATACCAAATGACACAGATGATACCAACTCTAGGGTACTGTACAGCCTTCAACAATTAGGAAAACCCATACAGCACAACAAGCAATAAAAGGCCCAGACATAAAATGTAAAAAAAGAAAACAAGAAAACCTGGGGCCTGATTTATGTACAAAACAACAAATAAACAAATCTGATATACAACAACAAATAACACAGACCACTAAATAACAGGCTCCTGACTTGGGGCAGGCACACAGTTAAACATGTTTGTGGGTGACCAAACCTACCACTCACATGGGAAAGTTGTGTAACATCACAGCATAAGAACCAAACTATAAAAATCAGTTGAAAAGGGCTTGGCGCATCAGATCGATACTCAGCACACACAAAAAAACAAATAGTTTTTTGCACTTTGATACTATCATACTATGTGAAATGCTACAAAACTAGCCCTTGCCTTCTTGACACTAAGTAAAATGCTACATGTATATATATAGAACAACTCTTTGTCTTGTTGACTATTAGTAAAATTCCTTGCCCCTAGTTAATACTTAGTAAACAGTTATAATATTATTATATTTATACTAAGTTGAATTATATTAAACTAGCCATTGCCTAGTTGATACTAAGTAAAATGATATAAAACTAGCCCTTGCCTACTTGATCTTAAGGGAGAAAATTTAAAACGATCCTGCCTAGTTGATACTAGTTGATATTAAGTGAAAAAGTATTAAAAAAAAATGTAAAATATATACAAAAATACCGAACTCCAAGTAAAATTAAAAATGGAAATTTCCTTATCAAATAGCAAAATCAAAAGCTCAAACACAACAAACGAAAGGAAAACAACTGTCGTATTCCTTACTTGGTACAGGCATTTCCTTGTGTACTTTGTAGAAAATGGTGGATTAAACCTGGTATTATAGCTGGCTAAACCTCTCACTTGAATTGGCTAGTTGAATTATATATTCAACTCGCTTGATGCTTTCAATCAATCATAGTGTAATGAAAATACTAAGTATTTTGATAAACCGTGTTTAGTGCTATAAATTGCTGGTGGAATAATGCTGTAGAAATAAAGTAAGACCTACAACGAAAGAATCACAGTGTTATGCTATGCAATAAACCTGTTACAGTGCCATAAAATGATTTGTTAAACAAACAGAGAAAATATATCGATGTCGAATACCACGCATTTCATATCCTCATATATATTGATCAGAGAAACAATGATCTTCTGTTTATTGATGAAGTACATATTATGCAATAGGTTGAAAGCAGAATGCACATATATATTTTATGTATGGTTTTATAAATCCTGGTATTTAAACATGTATACTAAAACTGATATTGACATCTATGGCGTACGGAAAGGGTCAAAAGTAAAATGAGGTGCATATGCTTTAAAATATAGATTATGCTGCTTTGTAGCATAAGCTTTATTTGACGTCCCATATGGCGTACGGAAAGGGTCAAAAATAAATTATTTTGCCTATGCTACATTAAATACAGCATATGCTATATAAACTACAGCTTAAGCTATAATGTATGTACCCTATGCTGTAATTAATGTCGTTTAGGCTATAATATATAGCATATGCTATAATTTATATAGCATATGCTATAATTAATACAGCCTATGCTATATTAAATGCAGCCTATGCTGTAATAAATAGCATATGCAGCTTAAGCGCCCAGTTGACGTACCATAATGGTCAAAAGAAAATACAGATTACGCTATAATTGTTGAAACATGTACATTATTTACATTTAAGTTATAACTGTCCTGAAAGGATCAAAAGTAAATGTTGCATAAGCTGTATTGTGCCATGTGGTTATAAGGTGGGGCTACTGTCAATCACAAATCATGCTATTATATTTTTACTGTCAATCACTCTTCAACATTCAGTGGCAGATCCAGAGGGGGGCGTAGAGGGCGTACCCCTTTGCTTGCACTTTTTTTTTTTTTTTTTTTTTTGGAAAATGATTAATCAGACTAGACTTCGCGAACTTTGCCATTTCCCGTGTATTTAATTTTTATGCGACAATTCTTTACTTATAAAGATATTTTTCGCTCGTATTTACTGTAATATATTATTGATTATGTCAAAGTCATGTGATTCGCTACGGTGGAGTTGACCAGTACGTCGAAAAAAAACGTCACTCAGTCATTTTGAAATTCAAATTACAGTAACACATTGCTTAGGCTGAGGATGACAAGCATGACGCCTTCAAAGCGACAAAGTATTGAGCACGCCCCAGCCCATTAATAACATTGCTGAATAGTGATCCCCAGTCAGTAAGCTCTAGATATAGATTTAAAGTCTAAGGTACGGACCATTTGATTTGAGGGGGCAGTCTGAGATATTTTAGAGAAAAAATTCTGACCCTGATTTTTGCCTTAAACAAAAATTCTGGCCGTATCTGGATTGAAAACAATAATCTGGTCCACTTTTTTGCTATTAGAAAAAAGTATTTTCAACAAAATTATTTAGCATTAAATGAACAAAAAACGGGCGTAATTATTTTTTGGCGGGTTGCATGTGAATCCCATATCTGACCGGAATGTCTGTTTCGTCGAACTGATATACTGAATACTTTTTTCAAGGCCCGACAGCAACCTGCCTGCTGGGTGTGGCCTATATATCTCCATGTGTCGACCGTCATTCACAACTTCATTGTCATTTCCGACTCATTCGTAGCCTTTGGTTGATTTGGAACCCCTCACTTCCTTTGTTGGTTGAAACATTTCAACCAAACATTTGGATAAAAATTGCTTGTTTGTCTTTCTTCGTGTCGGTCGTATTGTAAATTTCATTGAATAGCCGTTATATCTTGTTTACAACGAGAAATCTGTGAGGTTGTGCTAACTAACCATACAACAAACGAGAATTTTCCAGTTCCATTTTTTACTGACAAATCCCACATTAAATATATTAATTAGTACATAGCTTAGGATCCATCCAATCATTTTATAATAGACAATTAATGGAGAGAATACGGCACCAAAAATGTCCAACCCCTACACTTTAACTTTAAAATGCATTTTACACTTATTTTATGTTTTTTAGCCAAAAAAAGGTCCAAATATATTTTTGGCGAACTTTAATACTACGCCCCCCTTTCCAAAATCCTGGATCCGCCCCTGGAAGTGGATGTAAGCAATTATAGATAAGATAAGATAAGATAAGAAAAATTTATTTTAAGTCGGGTTACATGAAATACTACAAACATAAGCTCTGTAGAGCTTTTTGCCGTCATGTAGACAAATGCTTTTTGTAGACAATCGTAAGGCCTTCAACAATGACAAAAACCTGATATTGTAAAGTCGTCTATAAAAGGCCCGACATGAAAAGTGTGAACAATTCAAACGAAAAAAGTAACAGCCTAATTATACATAACAAAACAATTTACAAAATATCAAATACGAGTCGAGACAGGAACCAACGACAACCACTAAACTACAGGCTATATTTTATCATAATACTTTATTAAGAGTTTTCCAAATTTTGTTTGTATATTAGCCTATTATTTTCTTTTTATTATATATATATGTAAATCATAATATTCATTCTCCAAATTTTCTGCTTTTATAAAATGAGTACATGCATATACCTAAACTACTATATATATATATATTTATTAAGAAACTACCCCTTTACAACGGGGGCACTTGCAGGCAGGGTACCTACAAATACGTCTAAGAGCATATACAATGAATAATGTACAATGAAATAAAATACACATAGGACAATATCATAGTTAAAAATTGATTCTCTTTAAAACAAGTCAACTTTCATGTAAAACA